CATCAGGTTGAAATACGATGGCCTCAATCACTGAGTGACCTTGGAACGCGGAAGACCAAACGAAACACGCTTGAACGCCCGCTAGACATTGGGAACGGTTTAGGCAACTCGATGGGTCTATATCTGGTTCACGAAGGCCTGTCGTTGTTGTTCATCCCGCAAACATTTCCCAGTTCCAGCGGCTGTGCCTTAATGCCCGTTGTGTTACACTACGTAGCTTTGACAACACATCAGCTCAGGCCCTTCTTCTTGAATCTCCCCTTCACGTCCTTGCGCTGCCCTGCAGTTCTGATGGGGTTGAAGAAGAAATCTTTGCGCAACTGATCGGCGGTTGGGATGCACTCTACATTCCGATGACGATGTTCTGGCTGACCAGAATGTAGTGTGTCGTATCATAGTTGAGGGTTCCGATCGGGTTGCCCTCTTTCACGATTCATCTACTGTTCGCATTGGCTGGCACCAAGGTGGTCTGCTCTATGTTTATGGTATTCTGTGCCATGTTCAGGAAATGCCCCGCGCTTGCGCATCAGGATATTGATATTCTTTGCCTTGACAACAGAGCTAGCTCTGCATGTGTTTCTGTTACTGTCGACAGTCCGCCTATTCCCCCTCCCAACAAGGATGCCACCTGTGATGCCACTATCCCAGCTCCTGATGCCCAATGTATTCAAAGTGGCGAGGTTTTTGACCTTCGGACACTTTATGTCGCCCTTCGCGTTCTTGCATTTGGCGCTTGGCGACTCACTGACAGCAGCAATCATCCTAGGCAAGTCCTTCTTGAAGCTGTTGCTGCTGAGTTTGCCGTTGGCTGTTGTGATGCTTCGCTTACTCCTAACGTTGTAATTGAAGCTACACACAGCATCCCCCATCTTGCCGATCAAAGCGTCTGACATGCTCGCCACCTTAATCTCTCTCCTCCCACTGTAGGGTATGTTCGGCAGCTCACTGGCATTGGGGCGGGTAAACAGCGCATCTACCCTAGTAGAGCCCCTGTTCACCCAATACTCGACACTACTTGGCTTTGTCTGCCTGATCCTTCGTGGAAGGCTCACACATCCGCTTAACATTGTCGCAGTATCTCCTGATCCATTGATCGCCAAAGCACTTGTCGCAGCACTTGGTCAATTGCTTGATTTTCAAGTTACAGCTCCCGTGTTTGGCTTCGCCTTACTGGGCTCATTGTTGTACATGATGATAATCCGCTTCTCCTTGAAGCATTTGATGGTAACAGTGGGCTAGCGTACCACCCCAATCGTGGCATCACGCGTATCAGTAGCGACGAAGTCGAACATTGTTGGGGCGGTTTTTTGCAATTCTGACACCGTTGGTCTGGAGTGCCTACAGGGCAGAAGACGCACCCGACTCAGGCATGTCGTCAGTGCCCATGGTATTATAAGCTTTTTTGATGGCAGCGGTAGTTTTGCCGACACCCTCGCTGGAGCTTGGACCCGCGTCGGCTTTTTTTTTGCTGAGCTTGATCCCGTCCGTGCGGTACTGGCTACCATCAAGACACGACTGTGTGGGTGAAGGGGAGTAACAAGACTGTTCGATATCTCGCGGACTTGGGAGGTAACCCATCGACATTTTGCTGCATTGCGTGCATTCCTCGCCTTGCTCCCAAAAGATGGCAAACTTGGCATCACAGGCGCTAGAAGTGTCCATTACCATGTTGTATACATAGTAATGTATGCGCTTAAGGAGCTTGGTGCTGCGCATCGAGTCGTCCCTATGCTCGAAAATGCTGGTAGCATGGCCCCCTTTTTCGGCAGTACATACAGGACTTGTGGAGTGCCTGCGGCTTGCATTCATCGCATAAATACTGCTACGTGGTCTGCTGTTTCTAGGAACCGGTACTTCTTTGTGAGTAATACCTCCTACACCTGCCCTCCAGGCAAGCTGATCCGTGGCAGCTGGATGGATGTTGCCTAAGCCCAGACACAAGCCTAAGCATGCCACCTTGGCTACGGGCGCATCAGATTTACCACTAGTGCCTGTCACCCTCGACACCTCCTTTATCATATAGCCTACCTTCCATGGACTGAATTTCTCCCCTCTAAGGCTGTCCGTGCTCTCCATACTATCATTCAGTGGGGTGGTCCTGTGGCGCAACTCCCAAACAAAGAGCAGTTGCCGAAAAGGTCGTTGACGCTGAGCTTACTGGTTTTGGAGAGGACTCTACGCATGATGTCACCATTCCTTGCAGGACCTCATAGGAAACTCTTTTAAGCCTAGTGCTGCCTTAGGAGGCAAGCGCTACCTCGGCCGTCTCAAGTGTGGCAAAGTTGAACCACAGGTCTGGCAGCCATGCTCTCCTTCCGTACTTCTTGCTAAATACGCAGGTGTTCGGAACAGGTGATTGGCTCTCTCGACAAGAGTCTGTTGGGCTACTGTTGCTCTGATCCCTTTCCTACAGGGAAGACTATTGGCATGTGATGCGCGCCCTGCCTTGGTTACGGCAATGGGAACAAACTGCGTCAGCTGCCACTTCTTGTATCCTCCTTGTCGGTGATTGCGGTGACTCTGCTTCTGTTCATGCTGCTGTATTCCTCCAACTCGTTGGACATTGTTACTTTTTCTCCTGGGCGCCACCTGCGGGTCTATTGGTCCCATTACGCCACACTGCCGTTCGGTCGCTTTCTCGGACTTGCACAAGCAACGCCTGCTATGTGTAGACAGGACATGCCCCAGACACTGATTCAGGCTGCAGCTTAGATGGAAGGGCTCTCACGGGTGAGCTCTGTTAGGCACCACCGGCAGAGGCGCCTCAGCTTACAAGAGAGCAGCAGCGCGCCCTGCGCATGCTGGAAAGGCAGTCGGCCGATGACCGATTGACGACCGGCGCAAGCGTACCGGTATAAAAGCAAGATGACCATCGAGCCCCGCAACGAGCCGCAGATGCTCCGGTGGTTCCGCAAGACCTACCCCAGCTACAACCTGCAGCCGCTGCTGAAGCGCTACCGAGAACTGGAGGAGGCGCGGGCCTTCAACAACTGGCTGGGCGAGCGCAGGCAGGCGAGGAGGGGCAACGACACTTGGACGACGTGCGGCTGACGGAGGCCGTGCACCGTCAGGTACCTCAGCTGCGCCACGCGCGCGCCGAGCGCCGGGGCGTGGAACGGGCGGCGGGCGAAGTTGCGCAGTAACCGATAAAGAGATGAAGACGCTTCGGGCCCACGGTTTCAACCAGCGCCCGCGCTTCGAGCAGGTGGTGGGCTACCTTTTCAATCAACTGCCAAGTACTCCGGCTTGGAAAGAGGGTCACTTTTCATTCGTCTCTCCTTGGATCATACTTGAGTAGCGGAATAGGATCGGCGCTTGATAGTCTTCTTTTTAGACACCCTATGTTGGACAGCGAAAGTGCCAACGTTGTCGTGTTCGGTGGCCTGCCACGGCCAGCGTGGTGCGCTCTGGGCGGTTCTGCGTGTTGCCTCGACCATTACATCCTTCCGGGATTCTCCAATGCAGTCAGCCTACCGAGACCCTTGTTCACCGCCTCGGCGGCGCAGCGCAAGATGAGCAATATTCCAAACTCATCCGGCGGCTTCAATCTTCTTCCTTGCTGATTTAAGCAGTGTGGACATGTGGCGTGAGCAACCAACACCTCGCCAGATGTTGCCTGCCCATTGTCTTCTTCGAAAGCCCTTGCGGCGTACCACGGGAGGGCCTGTGCAGTGCGCGCAACGCGCGGGGCAGCCGCACGGCAGCAGTCCCACACTGAGGCATTGAGGGCTTCAGCCATGACTAGGGAGGAGATATGTCTGATTATTAATGCGCAGAGAGGACAAGAAGAAGGGCAGGGCGATGATAGCGCATAGGTTTTGCATGGTCTGGAAGGGTATATAGTGGCATTGTCTTAGACAAGGCTGGGCGGCAGTGCCACAATACGGCTGCGGTCGATGAGGCTATGCGATCCACACGCGCTTTTTGGCAGGACAATCTGGTCTCCTGAGCAGTGGGATGCTCTGCTTGCTGGATATACACCACCTTTGATGCATTCGTTGCCCGGTCGCCAGACATGAGTCCATCGCAGCGGGCTGAGCGTGGGACAGCTGCTATGGTGGCCCTGGCACTGATGCAGTTGCAGGACATGGGATAATCTCTCCGAAACGTTTGGTCACGTGTTGGTATCATTCTGAATTTCACAGACGCAGGGTCGGTTGTGTCATTTGCTTCTGTGCAGGAACGGCCTGGTTTTGCTCGAGGCATTCTGCCGGAGGCAGCAACTTGCACCACACCACGTTGCTTTGCGCAAGCTGCGCTGCGCTCTGTGCAAGTAGCTTCGTGCAAGTAGCTGCTCTGTGCAAGTAGCTTCGTGCAAGTAGCTGCTCTGCGCAAGTAGCTTCGTGCAAGTAGCTGCTTTGTGCAAGTCGCTGTGTGCAAGTTGCACTGTGCAAGTTGCTCGGTGCTCTGTGCAAATTTGCTCTGTGCAATTTTCTCTCTCGTGTGAGTTTTTTTTTTGCCTGCGGTGCCCATGTTTTGTGGGCGTTCAGAGGTATTTTGGGCCATTTGGCCAAAAAGACATGCTGATCCACAGGAAACATGTGCAACCAGCACAACGTTGAATTTGCGAGAATGGGGTGAACAAACGCCGAAATCATGAAGCGCCAATTTGCTTAACCTCCCTCATATTTTGCGCTGATTGCGCAGTAAACGGTTTTTTGCCATCATTTCGTCACCCGATTTATCCAAAAGGTCTTCCTCCGAAACTGGCCAGTAAAAACGATCAGTCGGTTTTTCATCCTTGTGGCACTTGTGGAACCGAAGCTTTTGGCACATTTGGTGCACGGAGAATGTGGGTGCCCTTGGAAAAACATTTTTCAAGTGCTTTTTGTTACCCGACTCGCGTGTTTCAGCTTGAGCTGCAGCAGACCTGGCTGCGCATTTGCTGTTGCGGACGTTCGTGCTCACAGGGCCCATCATATTCCACGACCCAGAACAAACCTTGAAACTCATTTTGTCTCAGCTCCTCCCCCGAACCAGAAAAACTCCACCCATGACCCCGGGCCTCAGCTCTTTCGCTCGGCTCGGCTCGCCATGTGGCGCCTCACGGTGGCGGCGGCCGCGCTCTCGGCGCACAGCCTGGAACTACCGGAAGATAACTCCCTGGCGGACTTCCGCGCCAGGTGCCAGGGGCTGGGGTGGTTTGGGGGGTGGTGGACTTTGGGTGGATTTCCCAAGGGAAAATGAAAGCATTCAGGTTTTGGGAGTTGAATATGAGAGACGCATAGGTTCCATCCATTTTTGAAAAGGGTCAACCCCTTGCGAAATGAGGATGGATGGGGGTTTACAAGAAGAGTGAGAAGGGCATGATCTCAGATCTTAAATGACCTCCTCACAAGAGAAAGTTCTTGAAGGGGCCTGTGGAGAATGCAGTGGGGGGTGTTGATGCTATTGCATGGGTTGAACCCAAGGTAAGCTGGCAATAGAACCATGAGCCTGCTTGTCAATGCCATTTCCAAGCATCTCCGCTCCAGGCAATACGCGGCCCAAATGTGTGGGTTTATCTTTGGGGAACACAGCTTTTTCAACCTTGGCGACACAGCACAAGCATTCAGCTTTTTGAGTTATAAAGTGGGTGGGATCGACAGGACTACATGAAGTGGATGGCACTCGTGCAAAGACTTCTTTCCCAAACTCGCTCTTATGAACAGTTGTAGCAGTATCCACTGTGTGGCTGGCCGTATGTTTGAACGGGATAAATCCTGAACTATGACCAAAGATGGCGCGATAGCCATGTGGGATGCAGACATAACCTCAAGCTTGCAATAATGGGGGGTTGCCAGCTGTTGTTTGGACCTAAACATGGCAGATCATAGACGCTTTTAACATGAGAGAAGGAGACCTCCGTGCGGGTTTCCTTTGGTTTCCCTGAACACTGACCAAACATAGGTCCCCCGTTTTGAGAGCGACACGTCTGAGGTGGTCATGCCGGGATTGCAACTCCACGGTGGATTGGAGCCCCCTCCTGAAGCCCATTGACATCCAGACGGGAGCAATGCCTACCGCCTCTCGGGCCGAAGAAAGCGGGGTCTTCCGTGTGAAGTGCGTCCAGGGTTGTGCAAGAACCGAGGGAGACGTGCTGTGAGCAAAAGACTCTTTGCATTATTTCTCGGAGTTTTGGGCCGAACCGCACAGCAAGAGATGTAGATTTTTGGAGGGCTGAGAAGCAGATGGCGCAAGCAAGTCTTTTTATGGAGGGATGGATGTTGTTTGAACTTGGCTGGTACTGTTGGTCAGGATCTGCTGCTGGACATGCCGTTTTTGATGCAGGCGCGGTTTGCTCCCACTAGATGTGAGCCATCATTTTGTGAGCGTGTGCTAAGGCTTCTATTTGTTCATTTCACTGGCGTGAGTGCTAGCGTTACTGAGCTGAGTGGCATGTACACATCTCTGCTAGTGTGGGCTGTCACCGGCTGTCTGAATGAGTGAATCACCTCTCGTGAATGTGTCATTCCGACGGCTGTCGCAATGAACGCAGGTGGAGAAGCAATTTGACGGATCCGCCTGGACGGCACAGTGCAGGACCGGCAATTTGATGGAACCTCACAGGGGGTTTGTCAAGAAAAACGGGGGGGGGGGGGGGTTGCGACTCCCATTTGTTGCCTTGTTCTTGAGGTCAGCACCACCAAGAATAAAAACAATGGCGGAGCTAGCAGGTGTTTTCTTTGTTGACGGCTGGCATTTCCTCCTTCCAGGAGGATGTGGTTTGCGAGCTACGCGGCGGCGGCAGCTTATTTGGCGTTCATCGTGATAGGCGCGGCCGGAGGTTGCAACACCAAGAGAGGTGCCATGATGCCGTTCAGGTTCGGCTTACTGTTGTAAAGTCGTTGTAAACCTACCGTGGAGCCAATCGTTGAAAGGTTCAGGCATACTGGAAGAATCTTAGACCAGACAAAGGATGAAGAGGGGGCAGGGTGTGGATTCTGGTTGGAGTGTCCCCTTTAAGCCGTGGTCCCGCGGATGACTTGGTGCTGACTTGGGCTGTTGCATGGCAGGCAAGGAGTGGATGAAGGACCGCAAGCCTTGGGATCTCAAGACGAGCCTGGCACTGTGGAACCTCTTTCTCGCAGTGCCTCTCTCAGTCTCTCAAAATGGGGTCAGGATGCCGTTCGTTGTTCACTCACCAAACAACAAACTGGTTCTTCCGAAATCGGCAACGAAATTGCTAAGAGCAGGCGTTAAATGTGCCAGAGGAAATTGTGCATTGCCTTTGGCCGCAGGCCCAAGCTGCAAGCAACATGGAAAAACCGGAAGCAGAGAAGCAGACAAGAATTCCAATCCACTCAGTGCCAGACGTGTTCGCAATGCATCTGATTGAAAAAACTGTCGTGAAACGGCAAGCAACAAGCTTGCATTTTGACTTTGCAGGCTTGGCCAGGTGTTCACTGCAACGCGCAAAAAGAGGTCCAGCTTCGGGCGTTTTGTTCGGGAAAGACGATGTTTCAGGCTGACGGCAAAACCGAGCATTTTGCTTGGGGACGAACAAAGATAGGCATAGCGTCAAATATGAGCTGGACATTTTCTTGACAGGTTTCGGACATGTTTGCAATTTGTCCAATGTCAACCCAGTCTAGAATATAACTGTCAACATTGGATGTTAGGAGGATTCGGAGGATGCGCTTGCCATGGGAGCTTTTGTTATGGTTCAGCCTTTGGGATCACACACCCGTTGGAAGGGGGAGCACCTTTCAAGCCAGGGTTTATGAATTCGTTACTTGTGCTCAGGTAGGATCTCTTATGTTTTGAGTAGACAACTCAAGTGACCATGAAGGGCCGTGAGCAGCAGGTCTTGCTCGGGATGTCTGGCTGGGTCTGGCGAATCTTCCAAGTGGCTTTTGATGAGGAGAGATGCGGCAGGCAAATTCAGGCCCTGAGCCCCTGGCCAAAAGGCGAAGAAGGGCACCCATCTGGTTGGGTTCTATGTGGGTATGGGTCAAAATTAAGCCACCAGGGGACCGCAGGTTTTAGTCCATGTTTCCATTTACCAGGGTTCCATTTTGGGTACCTATTTTTGACCCATACCCATGTGTTACCTTCCGTGAGGTCTTCTCTTTTGTGGGCGCGGTGCGGACGGTGCCTCAGCTGGTAGGCGCGTGGGGGGGGGAGGGGAAGCAGAACACTGACCGGTGAGTCAGTGAGTTGGCCACCTTCCCTTTTTGCGAGCCAATGCGAATTCTGAAGTTGGGATGTTCTGCTATGTGAAACTCCCTGATTGTGTGTGTGTGTGGACAAGAAGGTACCCTTTTCCAAGGCCTTCTGAAGATGGTAGTCTTTCGACATCCTTTTGTGCACTTCCACGATTGTTGGTACATGGGTGATCTCTTTTGGTCATTTTCTTATTGGGTTAAGAAACCCTTTCACTTGCGGAACCTTCAACCTGCAGTCACTTCAGATTTGTGGCAGGCGCGCTCTCCCAGTACGGCTTCGAGTACACACTGTGCAGGAGGGCGGTGTTCTACTATGGCAACGGGCCTGCGGGGAGCTTAGTCACTGCGCTGTTCGGCATGGGTCTGATGCGCCACTGCTCCATTGCTTGTCGCAATCAGCTCACTTTGCAGCTTGCGACTTGTGGCCGCATTCGAGCGCGAGCGCCAGCGCAGGCCGGCATGTGGGTGTGCCTCTTCATATTCTCCAAGTACATCGAGCTGGTAGACACCTTCTTCCTGGTTGTGCGAAAGCTGCTTGGCAAGTTGCTTTGGGGCCCCTTTTGGCGGTGAGGCGTGTAAGTGGGTCAGGTTGTCGCAGATTAATGTGTACAGATCAACCTTTGACTCTAGGGCGCTTGATTCACGATCCATGTGCGCGTTCTCGGCTCGTTCGCAGAGTAATCTACCTGGCACACTACAAATGCCACGAGTGCAAATCAAACAGCTAGTTCAGTTCGGTTGTGTGATTTAGGTAAGATAGGGGTACCCTCTTGAATTGGTGGTTTTCTTTTGTGTTCCTTTGGTTTTCTTTTAAGCCGGGAATCAACGCCCAAAGTGCAGACACGGACACAAACCCATGCCTTGTTCAGGAGGAAGATCCGGTTCCTGCACTGGTACCATCACTTCTCCGTGTTGCTGTACTGCTGGCATGCCTACACTTGGGTATCTTGGCCGTTGAGCCCCCTACAAGCAGTGGATCTGCCAGGGAGGAAGGCTTGCCTTCACACCCAGACTGTTTCTTGCCGCACACATCGCGGCTTGTGATTGAAGTGGGTGCCCGCATGCCTGTTCTTTGGAGGCTACCCTTTTTCGGGGGTGGTTCAACCGGGCAACACGGATTTTTTGGCAATTGTCCCCTATACCAACACTCCTTTTCCTTTTCAAGCATCCCCAACTCCACCATGGGTGGCGGATGCATCCCCCAAGCATCCCGTCCGATGTACGCCCCAATGGCCCCAGATGGCCCAAGCCGTCCGATTAGAGAAAAAGATCTCGAGGAGATGCCTACGGGGCTCTACTTCGCGGCGATGAACTTCACGGTGCACGCGGTGATGTACTTCTACTACTTCCTTTCAGGTGGAAAATTCGTGTGTGTATGTTTTGTTGGGGGTTGGGGGAGGGGGGGGGAATCGATGCTTTTTTTGTTGATTGTGAAGGGAACGCGGCGGGTCTGCGTTTTGAGGGCAGTTTCACAGAGAAGTCAACACGAAGGAGAAGCGCCATAGTCAAGAGTCAACACGAAGGAGACGCGCCATTGTTGGGGTGCCCGGTTTTGGACACACACACACACACCAATTTCTTTGCGCTGGGGGAAAATAATTTGGTTGATTTGAAGGGAAACTACACGGTACGCGGCGCATATTCGGCCGTGGTGAAATATGACAATTCTGAAGGCGCTGTTGCAAGAGAGAAACTCCATATATCCTTGAATTCCACTGGGTTTGTTGTCGCAGAGACTTCAAAGTGTATTCGGAACATGTTCCGCCCCCCATGTTTCGGCGCCGGAAAACTACTTCGCAGGCGCACATTTTTTAGGCCCAAACGGCCGCCAGTGTTTGCGTGAGCTGCTATGGCCTTGGTGTCATCAGGTCACACCGCCACGATCGTCCCTGACAATAATCCATGATGATGCGAAACCTATGCATTCCACAGTTAGGTTGTTCAACAGGGCATAAGGTGGGTTGTCAAATCGATCCGCCATCATCCACTGATCAGGCCAAAATGGCCGCAAGCTTATTCAGGAACTCCGATGGCTTTGGCGTCCCAAGACGACATCGCCAGCTCCATTGGTTGACATAATCTTTGATGATCGGATTCAGGGCCCCTTTCAACTTCAGAATCTCTTCACGCGGCGCCACTGCCGGTCGAGGCACTGAGTGCCGGCTTCCGCCGGCAGTTCAACTTCTGAACCCAGACCTTGTTCTGGTGGCAGACCGTGTAGCAAGATGCCCTTCTCCTTGCGCAGCGCTTTCCACGAGGTGTTCCCGTCAGAGAACACTGTCGGTCTTCTTGATCTTCTGCACGATGCACCACTGGCAAGTTGCCCCGCAGTCCTTTATCTCCTAAACTTTCCATGTGTGTCCTGAGAGTCGCCCCGGCCTTCGCCGACAAAGGCTGGGCTGCCCTTGCCTTGACAGCTGCAAGCAAAGACTCAGAGTGACGTGCTAGCAATTCGAAGTCAACCCGGGTTCGCCTGCCATATGACCACTCCTGAACCACCACCGCGCTTACAATGCCCGCAGCGGGGCGCCAAGCGGCAGCACAGAGCGCAGCGTGAGCAGTGTCAATCCCTCGAATGTCTTTGGCCCAAACTTGAGCAGCTCAGGGCAAAGGGATGGAGGAGGGCATCCCGCGCGCAACAACAGCACGTGCGCAAGCAGCCATGCCGCTTGTGCCGGGGAAAGCATGCCGCTGAGACTGGTATATGGCTCCACACTTGGACTATAATATGATCATCCCCCCTCCCAACTCCCCCACCCCAGCGTAGCGCATTCGGCCGAAGCAAAGCCACAAAAACATGTGTTTTGTACCACGGCCGAATACGCGCCGCTTTCCAACTACACGGACGCCAATCATGTTGCGGTGCCCTAATTTTGAGACAAGCCCAAGAACGGGGCAGTCCCAGAGCAATAGGTGCGGCCGCCATTTCATTTCCTTCCATGGAATTGGGTAGACACTACCAGGTTTTGATTGCTCAGGTGTGGCTCCAAAGCTGTTCGTCAGTTGTTCGAGAAAGCAACAACTCCATATTATTGAGGCCTCTGGAAACGCTGGTTGAGATAGACTCGCAAATCGTGCAAACGAGTGGGTGTAGTTCTGGAACAAGGTACATGTAGAGTAACATGTATGTAAATAAGTGTGTAGTACCTACCGACAGCCGCACTCACACAGTTCCCACAGATTGCTTTGGTACACTTGATTAATGGACATTCCCGTTTCTCTTCACCCATCCTTCTTTTCAAACAAAACATCCAAGGACACGCCCAAAAATATGCAGGGCAGGCGCACAAGTTCACCGGGCTGTTTGCTAACCTGCCCATGCAAGCACAGCCAGCTCAAACAAGATCACACCTCTATGTCCACAGGGCACAACAACACCTTGGACCATGTGCAAGGCATCCGACCACGTCCGTGTTCCTTAATCCGTGTTTTTGCCAGTCTTTCCAAACCTCTTCCCCCTCACTTAATCTTTAATTTGCATCCACACTTCTTGGAGGTTTGGAAAGACGGGGACTTGTTTCCCCACAGTGCTCCTTCGCTTCTTTTGTTTAACGTGTGAACTGCGCCAGGCCGCAGGTTAGGTCGTTCCTCAGGTGTCATGGACAAGCCGCCAGACTGGGCGCTGATGGTGTGCCTGGGACTGCTCTCAACAAAAACGCCGCGGCGTGGAGCTTCGAAAGGGGGGAACCGGAAACTGCGAGGGATGGTTCACCTGCAAGCGACTGTTTGGGGCACTGACAGGTGCTTTGGTTTTGTGTGAGCAAACCCGGAAGAAAGATGTTTGGCCTTTGGCCTAAGCCACGAGCTTGAGAAGGTCTCGGGCGGGCTCCTTTCCAAAGCTTGCAGACTCTTGAAAGGACATCATTTGCATGGCAGACTTGTGTCAATTCCCCTGACCTCCTGTTGGAAGGGGATTAATCCTTGACTCTCACGCTCCATTCACACCCAGATCTCAGAAGAAGCAATCAGCCTGCTCGTACTGACATGGCCTGCCCTCTTGTGGGTCACAGTAACACTCCTGATCGAACTTTTGCCTCCGCATCCCGTTGGATCCGCCGGGGATGTATTGACCTGTGGCATTCAGACTTTTTTTGTTGATCCAAGGGTGGGGGTGGGGGTGGTGGGTTGGCCAGGGGGCCAGGATGATGTTCAAGATGCCCCAGCGAGCGGGCATTGCAGGCGATGCGCAAAGCACATAAGACCACACCAGATCCTGCAGCGTGTACTCCACGTTCCTCCGACATGTCATATCTTGACACAACCTCACATGACTGCGCAGAAAGGAGAGCCTGCATGCGCATTGTCCTGTCCAACTTTGCTTGGTTTTTGGGCGGCAAGGCGCACTCTTTTTTTTCTTCCTTCTTTTCATTTCAAGATGTTTTGAGGACTATCATGCAGCTGCTGCAGATGGTGGTGGGCAGTTTGGCTGGCAAGGGTAAAAAGTGGGTGGCAAGCAGGTAGGTCCAGATCCCCGAAGCCCTGCCGCTTTTCGATTTCGGGTTTGTTGTGAAGATGCTACTCTTGCCGTCGGTTCTGCACAGTCGGTTCAGCAGACCCAGCATTCCTCGCCGAAGTCCGGAAAGTGAAATGGGAGCGGTTCGTCCAATCGGAGGTTGGCCAAATCGGAGGTTGACCAAATCTTTCGGAGGCAGAGAGATGGGAGAGAGCGGGCGAGAGGCAGGCCACGAGTATATGGACGACTCTAGACGGTCGCCCCCTTACACCATCGGAAGGGGTTCACTCTTGCGAGGCGGACCCAATGGTTGCCTTCTCACAGCTTTGAAGCTTGACGGGAAAGAAGCGTAAGCGAACCTGGCGTTGTAATCCGAGATTTGTGGCTGGCTGGAAAACGGGTTTGCGGGTCTGGTTTTTGTGTCTCAGCCATGTTGTTTGCGCCAGTCAGCTGTGAGAGTCGAGACATCCAGGGGAACAGTCTGACAGTCACAGCACGCACCACAAACTCATGGCTTTGCGTTAGGTTCAAGGTTTACATTGAAAGCAATCCCAAAAACGGGTGTCGAAAAACACAAGAAATGAATTTCATCTTTGCCACAGTTTTGTGGCGCCCGCAGGGCTGGGAAGCATTGCGCCTCGTCCAATTTGTCGGAAGTCAGGTATCCTGGTCACGTGCTGCCACATGCACCTCCTGCTCAACAGGATTCTGGGCCCGATGTTCGAACCAATTGTTGTTTTCTTCGTCGACCACAACCTGTTCTTGGGCCCCAAGCAAATAAAAGATGCCCTGCAGAAACCTTCAAGCCCTCAAACCCGAGGTTTGTGGTTGGAAACCACTTCCCCAGACGGTGTTTCGGGGCGTGTTCAGCGGCGACTCTTCTTTTCTGTCTCAGGGGCCTTTCGGCAGGACGGTGCCTCGCTGCGACGGGCACATGGACAACCTGAAGGACTCTCCTGCCGGTGGTTTTGCGAGTGCCGATATCTCTTTGTGCACCCAGTCGAAGGCAACGGCGGATAATGAAGATTTGGATCAACCGCTACTAGAACGGTCTTTCAAATGGTGGTGACTTGTGGTGATAGCTGGCTGTGAATTTGGATGGAGAACACCCTCACACTGGTTCGGTCGAAATATCAGTCCCACCCCGCTACCAAAGCGGCTGTACCTTTTCTTTTTGGCATGAAACACTGTTGGCCCATAGTTCCTAGAGTCGCACGTCTTTTTTCTTGGTAAAGATGGCCGTCGACCACACATTCGAGTTTCATGGCCCCTCCCAAAGCGCGATGCAGGCTGCTCTGGGAATGTATGCGGCTTGGATGCAGTTGGCCGGCCGGATTGGGGCAAGGGGCCACTCTCTCTGGATCCTGCCGGGTAGACTCTTTGACGCGCGTATGTAAATATTCTCTCTCTTTGTATCTATATATTAATATATATATATGTATCTGAATCTTTCTGATATTTCTATATACACATGTTCATTGACAGCCAGAATCTCAGAATGCGGGCACTAGAAACATATGCGCCGCCTGCAAAGCGGGTCCTCCGACCTGAGGCGTCGTACTTTTTGCTCTTCGCCCACTTTTTCGTAGACCGCTACTTTCTGAACCCGCCCACGCGGAAGAAGAAGCACGCGGACTGAAGAAGGCACGAAGGCACAGGGTGCAGGAAGCATCCGTCTCGAAGCCTGCATTGGCAGCCAGTGTCTGAGAAAGCCCGGAATCTTCAAACCACGGCAACCCGAATTCAACTAGTTTTCCCGGGCCTTGGAAGCAACAGGGCCTCCGTTTCGGTTTGCTTAGCACTGTAGGCCTAGAAAGTGGCCTGGGGAGCGGGACGCTTTGCGCGAATCCGCGTGAAGTGGGAGACACGCCTTGGGACATGGCTCTTGCACAATGAAATGGGGGGCGGGGTGTGTGTGTGCGATGAGTGTGCTTTCCCGGCCAGCCGCTGTTGCTTTGATAGGGGAGCGCCCGCTCATATTTTTGGGGTTTCCTTTGATGGTGCTGCGGATGAATTTGAATTTTATATTAGGGCGCATGGAGCATCTTGCGCAAGCCGACTGCGTTCGCTCCTCGCTCTGAAAGCTTTGGCAAAAACACATGGAGACAGCGAGACAGCGACACAGACACAGTGAAGCAAAGCAACACGCAAGACATCGCCACCCGCTTTGGCCAAGCCTTGCTCTGCTTCTAAAAGGCAGGACCAGGGCGGGAGGGGATTGGATTTGGTGATCAAAGGGTGTGGAGCAAGGGACATGGGATGGGTATACACATCCAATGACAGATCATATGCGTGGCTGAGAACAAGGACCCCGGAGTAAGAAAGCCTTGGTGGACTAATATGGGGGCGGAATCCGTCACCTTTTTTGAGGAACAGGCCCCCCAAGCAATCTGTCAGGTTGATGAATCCGGGGTCAAGATGTCCCGCTGTCGGGACTTGCGAATTCAACCAAGGCAGGTTGAAAAAACCGGCCATCTTGCGAGCTCCGCGAACAGGAGCTAAAGGTCGTGGGAACGGACGCAGCTGACGTTTGGGTGAGCTACGGGAGCAGAAATGTGTGCCCCGAAGGGAAGGCCAAGCGTGCAACAGACAAGGGGCGTGGCCGCCTTCAGCCATGTGCAGAGGCTGGAAATGATATTTTTCATTTTAGAGGCGCAGGTTCGGGGTTCGCCCGGCTCCCGACCCACGCAAAGTTCATGGGCCCCTTATGCTCCCCTTATGGACATTTATCCATACCAGGCCCCGAGTCAATTGGCTCATCTCCTGTTGGGCAATTCAAAGCTGTGTCCCTTTGGTGGGGTTCTGCTTACAAGGGACACATACTGACCCCCCGAAGCTTCTACCTAAGCACTTGCCAGGCTTCGGGCATGGTGCAGTGGGAGGCGGGTGTCTCGGGGAACCCACAGGAGGGGGTCAAAACAGGAGCTTTCCTTGGGTTGCTTTGATGTTGACCCCTGATCCATCACACTTGGCACCACAGAAACGACCGGGTGTCCTTTGTTTCCCAGACAATGTTTTCGGTTTGGTGTATGGATTTCCGGCAACTGCCGTGTGTTTGCATTGAAGCTTGGCGTCGAGACATAAATACGTAATCGACCATTCCTTTCAAGCTGTGACCCTTAACAAGTCGGGACATTGCCGACCTGAGGCCGCATGGCGTGAAGAACGCCCGACCTATCAACGAAATGCATGCGTTGGCGCAGAAGCCAATGTTGAAACATGCCTCGAGGTGGTTTAATTTTTCCTTTGCCCTGTTCACGAAAGCCAGCTTCATTTCAGCTCATGGGAATTCTTGGAGCCCTTATCCGGTGACCTGGACCCAAAAGTACCTGGACACACGCGACATTATCCTTTTTTCTCCCGAGTAAACATTGTAAACATGCACTGAGGGTCCAGTTGTGGGCTTAGGAGGTAAACATTTTAACTGTTTCCCTCCGCGTTTTCTCTCCCGCATGTCACCCCGCTTTTTCCTGCAGCTTATTTGCTCTCTCTCCTCTGCCTCCACTTTTCTTTGCTTCCGTCTCTGATTCTCTGCTAGCGCTTCGCCTGCTTGTTTTGTGCTCTGTTCTCCGCTCCAAGTGACGTGCTCCTTTTGTTTGTCTTTCTCCTCTCGTCTCTGCGAGCTTCTCCCGGCTCACGTTTCCTCGTTCTTCTGCTTTGTTTCCTGCCTGCCGTTTGTAGCCTTCTTTCTATTCTCCCCTCTCCATTGTGTGTGTGTGTGTGTGTGTGCGGAGCGTCAGAGCCACCCTGACGCCAACAAATGTTTCACGCAGGGCGCGTGGCTGGGACGCCTCAACGCGTACCTGCGCACGTGATGTAAAGTCCTTTTGGCCCTCTGTTTGTTTTGCCGTGTGCGCTTTTGTTGAGGATGTCACGGTTTCGAGCTAGAGAGAAGCTGCAATTTCGCCGGCTGTGAGCCGTGTGCTCAAAATAAGTATTCCAAGCTGGACCCGATCCAACTCGAAGATTCGCACGTGGCAGTTGGATGGCCGGTCCCGATTTTTGTTGTTTCCAGGTCACGGGCGGCTCGGACAAGGGGGGCATCCTGGTGCGCAAGGGGCAGGACCTGAAGTCCGAGCAGTGTGCCGACCGCCCCTCGGGTTGGCGCTGAAGGAACTCGCTGGGGGTTGAGGTGAAGGGGCCAAGGGGAAGAGGTAGCAGAGGTGGACAGATGGGTCCCGATGGAACTTAGGGAGGGTGCGAACTTTGGAGAGGAGAGGGTGTGTCGATAGGTTTCGAGGGTTTTGGGGATGGCTCTTCACGAATCTGAGGTGAGTTGAAATCGGCTGTGGTTGATTTCTCAACCTGGCGGGAAGGGGGGTGGATGGGGAGGGTTGGGGAGGGATGGAAGGGGTCAAGAGGGGGCCCTTGCGATGCAGCTTTCAGTTTCTTGTTCTTGGTCCCTTGCATGGCACCTGGTGCCAATCTCAGTGAACCAGAAGACAAGCGGGCATGTGCGGGTGCTGGGTTCCCCCAAGAGACTCAGGATCCCAGACATGTTTTTGAGGAATGATGAGGATGAGGAAATCTGTGGCCCTTGTAGAAGTGAAACTCTAAAGAAAAAACTATTGATCCCCTATCAAAATATAGGACACCCACCACATGGCTCACGTGGTTTCTGTCTCGCCTCTCACATGCCGCGCATTGGATTCGGATCGGATCCGGGGTCGGAGATCCGAGGCCTCTCGACCGGCGCTCTGGCCAGCCCGGCGGACTTCGGACTTCGGGCGCTGGGATGTCCGTGCGGTTTCTGGACGGTTGCCAGCGAAACTGGGAGTCATAGAAACCAGCTACAGGAAATTCGACAGGAAACTCGCCAAATTCCCACCAAAATCAGGGGTGTCCAGTAGAACTTTGTGTAGTTGGTTTCTTAGAGTGAGGAGGTCCTGGAAGTGAGCTGCCACCGTGGGTGTTGCTTCAATCCTTCACTTTTCAGTCCTTTCCATTAGGATCTGAACTCAGCTCAGCGCAGTTACACCACTGGCAGCAGGAATTTGGATCATCCTTTGTTTGCGATGCGATACTTTTGGGGAAGCAGATGTCCCAATGGTACAGCACACTGATATTGAATATAACTTCCGCAGATTCGTTTTGGGAAAACTCAGGCACGGGCTTCGCTGCCGGTCTTTTGTTTTCCGGCTCCGCAGCTGCTTGGCACAGGAGAGCAGCACAGGTTCTGAAGCATACAGAGCTCCCACTGCAGTGCGCAATTCTTCCTACCAACGATCTGTGGCCATGCTTTCAACGACACGAAACAGGGTTTGGGACATTTTCTGTTTGCAAAAGAGCTGCCACTCGAAAAATCGCCAAGAACGGGACGATCCAGAGGGCCGGAGAGCGGTCAGAAGGACAGCATAGAATGGCTGGCTGCGATGGCCGAAGCCTAGCTATGCACTCAGGAAATGGCCAGTTGCCAATTGAAAAGCGGAACCCCAGGGCACCGTTGGACATGTTTTGTTGGTTCCTTTTTTGCAGCCGCTGCTGAAAAAGGCTCCGATTTGTTTGACATTCCACGTGCTGGCCAATTGCTCCTGACCGGACTTGAGAAACAAATCCCAAGGCCATTCAGGCACAGCGGGCATTGGTGCTGGTTTAGCTCAACATCGGACTGTCCCGTTTTCTTTTTCTGGGGCCCTTGCCAAGGTGCCGACATGAAGAAGCTGGGAACGCCCAAGGCGGTCCGCAACTTCTTTGTCCGGCCTCCCAGGCAATGACGGTCTGGGCAGGCGGATTTTGCTCACTTAGAGACCTACATCCTCATCTCCAGTTGGAGTGTTGCGGCATCAATAAGTTTGCCAGGAAACTGGATTGCGATTCACGCAACCACTTTTTTTTGTCGAGAGCGGACCTTGAGATCTCAGGATGGCGGAAATCGCCGGGGGGAGATCGGCGAGTTCAAGGAGGAGACACAGTTGCTCAAGTTTCGCAGTGACAGGGCATGAGGCGCTGCTACAAACCGGATATTGCTCAAACATGCTGGGCTTTTCCCCCATGTGACAAGGCTAGTTTGAGGCTCCAGAGATTGCAAGGGCAGCAGGGCCTCGAGTTGCCGGTTGCGAGGAGCTGAACAGCAGCAGCAAGGACCGGAAGAAGGAAGCGCTGAAGAAGGCTGGAAAATTGGGAGAGTTGGATGAGTCTAGTCTTGGAATCTGATTTTTGTTTTTTGGTTTCCTTGGAACTTGGGTTCCTTTGGGTGACCTGATGTTTCTTGGTTTCCATCCTAACTTGGGTTCCCCCGCTTTCCGTTTGGTGGCCTTTTCCCAGGTTATCCAAGCGATGACCGTCGGCAGCGACGTGTCCTCGCTCTTTCCGGATGTTGTGAACTGCATGCAGACCAACAGCTTAGACTTGAAGCTCCTCGGCTTGCGCACCAGTATCCCCCAGGCTCAGGGGTCAGGGTTTTGGGAGCATCAAACGTTGGAGCCTTTCTTCATCATATAAACAACGTCGTCATTTCTGTTGCCTTCATATTACCAATTTTGCGGACCAGGCACCGCCAGAGATGCAGTGTCCAGTTGTTTCGTTTTGGCGTTTGTGCAGGTGATTGTGTTTGGTTTCATGTTGCTCCGATTCCTTTTGTTTGGCGTTTGGTTTGCTTAAGATACCACTCTCGCTGGGGGCAGGGGGCTTGGGTCCCAGGAAGTTGGTGTACCTCTACGTCATTAATTATGCCAAGGCTCCGGGGAGTGGCTGGCGGGAGGTCTGGTGCGGCCGGGAGGTCGGGAGGTCGGGAGGTCCGGAGGTCCGGAGGTCTGGAGCTCGGGGAGGCTTGAAAGTCCTCAAAATGGGGGGGCTGAGGTTGGCATTTGAGGGGACTCGGTTTGTAATGCTTCAGAGATTCGTTGCCATTGAAGCAGCGGCTCATGCTTTGTGAAGAAGTCTTGTAATGTTTTGTACGAGTTGCATGTGTCGCGACCCGAGCTTGACTCTTGGCACAGGCTCAGCCGGACTTGGCCATACTTGCCATCCACTCCTTTCGGAAGGACTGTTGGGGACATCGGCGGATTGGGGAAGTGTGTGTGTGTGTGTGTGCGCCCAGCGTCACGCCAACAGTTTCATTGCAGGGGGGTGGAGCAGGCCTCTTTAGAGTCTCCTGAGGATATCACCAGGGACGCCTGGTGACGTACCTGCCAGTGCTATAAAGTTCTTTTGGCCCGGTGGTTCTTCTGGTGTGTGTGTGTGTGTGCTTGATGTTGGAGTTGATTGCGTTTCTACTCTAGAGAGAAGCCATCCGTCTCGCCACTTGAAACTTACCCACTCGAAACATATCCAGCACATGTTACTCCGACTCGAAGATGAGCAATCTCCCTTGGGAGTTAAGTGTGTGGGGTGGGGTGGGGTCGGGAGGGTGGGTAAACCAAGCCCTGAGAACGCAAGCATCCCAACCTCAGGACGCCAATGACCCCAACAACCCGCTCTTGCGGGCCTTGGCGGTGCCTGGGACGCACGAGTATCCGAAGCAGCCCGCCACCATTTTTCGGGGGTTCGTGCCTGGAAGACCGGGAGAATCACTCGGCTTGGGTGAGTGAAAGGGTGAAATCGAAGCAACCATCCTTGTCTCCAAGAAGACTATGAGAACAGGGAGCAACAAAATAGAAGATGTCAAGCGAAGAATCAGAAATCGGGAATTTCGACGTCTCTGTCAGTGAACATAGAATGACTCGGCCCGGAAGAGTTGGGTTTTGGGCCGCCCGGGCCCTGCGGCCCGCGGGGTTTGCGGGTCGAGGTGCGGACCATGGGCTGCATCCGCTTAGAGCAGATGACGGAGTACCTGTTGGAGCCCTTGCGGAGGAGCTGAGAGAACTTGCGGAGCTGACTGCGAGCTCCAAGAGGCTTTTGGTGCAGGGTAATGGCTCAAAATGAAACCGGGGTATGGGGACTGCGGGTTGAAGTTTGTTTTTTTTGCCATGTAACCCAGGCAAACAATCAACTTTTTTTTGGGTTACCCTATTCTTGAGCCACCTGCTTGCTTCCAGGAGTTGCAACGACACGGACCCGTATGTGCGGAAGACTGCGACGATGTGTGTGGCCAAGCTATACGACATCAACCCTGAGCTGGTGGAAGACCAGGCCTTGCTGTTTCGGGTCAGTTTCTGGGGGCTATCAAAGTGATCATTTGTTCTGTTTCCCTTACCACTTGGGGGGCCTTTGGTTTTTGACCATGGCTCCTGGGTCAGGTGCAAGCAAGGTTGGCGATTCAGAGTGAATTACTTCTTGAAAGAGAAGATTCCTTTGCTGGAGTGGTCACTTGAGTGCATCCATGCAGCAGCTGGTGCAAGGCTTGCTGTGAATTTCCGCCAGACACAGCGAGTGTATGTTTGACCTCATTGAATGAGGGGGAACCAAAGGACCTCCGATGCCCATTTTGGTGCAGATATTTTGGCTCCAGACTTCGGTTTTCTTTGGATCTAGTTTCCAGCCTATCAGCCTATCCCGTGTGTCGAACACGTGGGCCCCAATTTGGGCGGCGAGGGCTTCCTGGAGATTGTGCGGGACATGCTGGGAGATGCAAACCCGCCAGTGCCCCGGGAGCGGATTCTGGTGATTGTGCGTTTGAGCCAAGTGAGCGATCTAGGGGGTTTTCAAAGGCCCAATTTTGGGCGTTTCTCAAAACGGGGGCAAACCAAATAGGGTTGGATTCCCGTCTTCGGTTCAGCATGGCCATGAATTTTATTAGGCAACCAACTCAAAAGTGGTAGGTGGACATGGATCCCCCATGATGTCCACCAAAAAGTCCCTAATCAAAAATCCAGACCCATATGGCTGTGGGTCAAAACCCAGTGGTACCATTTTGGGGTGGGTGCACCACCCGTTTTAGTCTACTGGCAGTACGATTGGGATTTTGACTCATGGCCATATGTGGCTGGACTTTTCTGACCGCTGGCGCTGGTCAGGATGGTCGTGGCCAATGCCGTGGCCTCGCTTTGCGAGATCTCCACCTCGGCCCGGAAGAACTTCCTGAAGCTGGATGAGGACGGCGCTAGCGCCGCAAGGGAAGCCAAAGGTGTCCTTTTTGGTTGTTTTGGTAGAACAATAGATGGCGCTTCCTGGTTTACCTGGTGGTTTAATCATCTACCAGGGGCATCTATTTGCCCCAAGAGGACACCTATGTGTAAACCAATGGTTTAGGAGAAATGGGAACGAGGGGAGGAATGGGAACGAGAAGGGACAAAGGGGACATGGAACGTTTTCTGTTCACAGTGCCTTCCTTATCTGAGAAGAGCCATAGTCATAAATACCAATATCTGAATAGTTGATCTCTTTGGCCAGAGCGGCAACAGCTTGAGTTATTCGACAAGCTCATATTCCCATGGCAAGCGGTAAGAATCCTTGACTTCCACACGTCCGGTTTTTTTTCTTTTCCCCTTTCGAGGTCCTTTGAGTTGGGATCCGCTTCTCGGCCAGCTGGCCGGCTCGAAACACGAGCCCCCCGTGTCCTGGTCCGGTCTTTGGGAAAAACCAGGCAGCCAGGCGAGAGGTCGAGCCTTTCGGCGCATCCTGCCAAGGGCTGTTGGGACTTCAACTTTTTGACCCAACTGAGGGGTTTTCCGTATTCAACCACCAAAAGTTTGTCACTTTTAGCAGGGGAGCAGAGTTCGCAACCGAGAAGCGCACCTTGCAGGACGTCATCTCCAGACTCCTGCCGGCACTCAACGAGTGCTCGGCAGCTTGGCAGCGCACGAAATGCTACAGTTGACTGGGTGAGGCATGCATGTGGGTGTATATATATATATAAATATATGTATACTCACTTCACGAGTTTCTGGACTTTGAGAACACCATTCTAGTGGTAAACCAAAAGTTTCGACTTTTTTGGCCCATCAACTCGGAAAGTGAGTGTATATATATATATATATGTATACACATCTATGTACACGTACATGGCAAGCACCATACATAGTCTGCAAGGTCGGTTGAGTGACTTTGGGTCAATAGCAGGTCGCTGTACAGGGCACGGGAGAGAAAGGGACTTGCCCTCCCCATCTTCAGCCATGGGCCCAGAATTGGTTCCATTGGACGCCCTGCTAAAGTTGCCGAAGCTTGCCGCAAGGAGTGGGGTCAAGTCTTCATCTTGGACGCGTGGCTGCCCAGACCGGGGTCGGGTGTCCGGGCATTGAGGCCAATGAGCTGTCCAGCGGGCTTTTAGTGGTATGTGGGTGTGTCTTAAATAGGGGGTTTTTCTGTTTCCCTTAAAAAGCCCCTCCAAAAAGAGTACCCTCAACAAGCAACTCACCCAGGTGATGCTCCGGCAGCGCGTATTTGGCTTTCTGCTTGTTTGAAGTCTTTCTGCTGCGCTTTCTGTGGATTGGAGAATCTTGCAGACTAATCGCGGTGCAGCTTTAACAGGCCAGGGAGCTTTGCCCGGGTCTTGGCAGTTTTACCGGGGCGTGTTGGTCACTCTAGGAAAGTGGCTGGATGTTCATCTGTTTGTCTACCTCCTAGAGAGTTGCCAACAGACCATGGACCGGAAGCAGATGATCCTTGGCTAAATCAGCGGGTGCATGGTTTTTTTTTTGGCGGCTTGAAGCTTTCAGAGCTTTTTAATAGAGTGTTCTGAGATAATTCTTTGGGAGGCGGCTCTCACAAGAAATGCACTGCGTGTTGGGTGTCATCTGAGCCCAGCCGAGCGTGGGCCAGTCTTCCCGGAGGGGGGCTGCAACCGTGGTGAATTGCGCAAGCTGTCTGAGTGATGCTAGTTTTCTGATGAAGACTACGAGCATCCATTTTATCCAGGGGTTGCGCTATCCGAGATGTTTTGGAAGCCCTCCTCGTTTCAAGGGCTCTTTCTGTCGCGGGGTGGGCCCAGCGATTTGGGCGGCCGAGATCGATCGCGCCAGGCGCTGGCCATGTACGACCCCCCCAACTCCAAGGTGGCAGAGGCCATCCTGGAGCGAGGCCTGCAGAGGGGTCCTGGCGGTCTTTTGGGTTGGTGGCTTGGGCAAGGATGCTGCTGGGGTCATTATTTGGATTGTTTCTACGGGGTTGTCAAACAGGCCGCATGCTGATCATGCCCGAGCTTTCATGATGGGCGGATGACCCGGTTTGGGCATGTTCCCACAATGTTCACATTTTGATACCGAGAGCAGAGTAGCCAAGGGCAAACTTGCGGGAGAGGTTGGCATGCTTGTTTCTGCCTCACGACAAGGCAAGGTCATTTCAAGACCGAAGCCAAGATGTTGAGCCGGCCACAGATCTCTCAGCAACAGCGTTGAGCGGCAAACGTTCTAAGTGCAGCTTTTACACCCTTCAAGAACAATAGAACAGCACAGTGCCAGGTGTCATTGCACGGCTGCAGCACGCCAACAGCGCGGCAGGGCTCCCGAGCGTGCTTGCAAGAGTATTCCGGGGTAACATGAGTGGTTTCGCGATTGGGTCTAACTCACAAAACAAGACCATCAACATACCCTTTAACAACATGGTGAATCATTTTGGCGCAACATCCCAATCTTAAGAGTGATGGGGTGGAGGTTACAGCAGGTTCACTCCGCGTCTCGAAATGGCTCGACGGTGCTGTTCTAGCCTAGGGACCTCAGACAAAACGTGTTTATGGTCACCCCTGTTTCCCTTTCCATCTATATCCCAAGAGGGGCGGGGCCCTTTCAAAGATGTAGGAACACCTATTGACCGCGTTTCACCATCTGCCCTTGCCGAAGGTCGTTCTGTCTGCACCCTGGCGGCAAATTTGGGCGTGGGATGCCTCAGTTGCCCGCAGGCTCGCTGAATTCCCTTGAATTGGTGGCTTGGAGACTGGCGGGAGTCCTTATATATCATGCTTTTTGGGGGCAGGTTCACGACTATCTTTTGGCCCAATTTTTGCAGGAGCTTCCTTTTGCAAGGCGGGAGGTTACGTGAAAAAAACCGGAAAGAAATGCGTCTTCCCATTTGGGGCCGTCCTGGCACATAGGATTCCCTTTTTGAGGGTACCCTTCTCGGGTTTGGTTGAGAGGGAAACCAAAAGGACACCGACCTCAGCGGCTCGCATAATTTTTGAGATACACCGCCTTTGGGATCAGATCTCATGGAGACATGTCGAGAAGGCCTTGCTTGGAACACCCCTGGCCACCTTTGCTAGTTCTCCTTTTTTTTGCCAGGTTGGCCACGTTGCTGCTTTTTTCAGTCCCTGTTGCCTGGTTTTTGGATGGCAACGTGGATGAAACAAAGCGATCGCAACTGGCGATCCAGGAGGCTGTTTTGCTGGAGTCCCAGCAAGGGATCGGGCTGAGGCCATCAAGGTGATCATGAAGTTCATGGACCGGCTCTCGAGCCACGAGCTGGCCCGGCAGCACAGGTTGAGGGTGCAAGCGTTTTTTTTTTTTTTTTTCTCCGGTGGGGTGGGGGCTGCCGGTGGGGGGTGGGAGGGGGGTGGGGGCGTGCCGGTGGCGGGTGGGAGGGGGGTCGGGTGCGGGTCGTTGGTTGGGGGGAGAGGAAAGGTTATGCGTTTGTTTTGGGTTTGGCGGCTGGCGTGAAGTGTTCGGGGTTGGGACTTGGCAGGGGTCTCACCATCATGCGGATGTGTCAGAACAAAGAAAAAGACAACCTCTTGGTTGCCCCATGCGAGTAATTCTGAGAATGGGCTGTTAGCTGTCACAACTGGTCGACTCTAGATCAGAAGTAGCGAAAACAAGAGAGGAAGCAGGGCTTGCTACTTTCTTTCATTGGTGAAACAATATATCTCTGGAAAACGGTTTGGATACGCTTTTGCGAATTTCACTTGTTCTTCCCCCTGTAGGTTCTTGTTCAGTACTCTTTTAGTACTCCTTTACTATCCTACAGGGGTGGACCCACAAGAACCGCATCCAAACCGTCACACCTTGTGGACTGGCATTGAGTGAGTTTCTTTTTGGTGGTGCGCATGTGGATGTGTGTCGTTATCCAACAAGGGCCTCTTTTTAGACTTGCTTGGACAGGGAAGCCCTAAGCGGTTTCCCAGGCTACACATGATGGAGCTTCCCCGCATTTGGGTATGTGAATGGTCACCCCAAATGGGCCCCGTTCGTCTGTTGGTTCCCCAGGTGAAAAGGGGTCGACATAAACGCTCCCCTTCGGTCCCTTTCACCGAGGTGCGCTCGGTGTGCCGGAGGATGACGCCCCCCTTGGTGACGATGCTCTCCGCGGAGCCAGAGATCCAATACGCGCCTTGGGCCCGCGTTTTGGGAGTCCGAGCCCAGGGCCTAGGGCCCAGGGCCCGCTCCAAACAAAGCTGCGCTTTGTAGGCCTGTCTTGTAATGCGGGGTAGATTTCACGATTTGGGTTCGCCTTTCGGCAAATCTGCCCCGCCTGGGTTTATGGGCTTCCTCTTTTGGGGAAATCGGCCGAGCACCGGCGTGCTCGTAAAATTGTGGACGAGGGTTCCTTCAGGTGGTTGGTTTGTGTTTGCTTTCCTTTTTTCAAACCTTCCAATTGAAAGGAAGCTAGGGATTCGTTCAGCGCTTCACTTTTTGGGCTACCCCAAGGTCGACTTGAACCCAGAGGTCCCTCCTTCTTGGGGAAATCGCAAGGTCTAGCTTCAGGACAGTACCACAGACCCCGCGCTTCATTCCGTAGGTGGTGATGCGCAACATCAACCTCATCGTCCAGAAGCAGCCCAGCATCCTGCAGACGGACGTGCGGATGTTCGTGTGCAAGTACAACGACCCCCTCTACGTGAAGCTCGAGAAGATCGTGGTGATGGCCTGAAGCCCAGCTGAGCCAAGCCCAAAGCCAGCGGCCGGAAGAAAAAAAGAAAGCAGCAAAAAAAAGCAAAAACGCGGAGGGCCTCAAATGTTTCAGCTTGTGACAAGAAAAAACGGCTTCTGAGGGTTGAATCCAGGTCTTTGTGTTGGACGTCTTCAGCTTGTTTTTGAAGCTTGGTAAGTCTGTCCCTGCCCAGTGGTCCTTTCCAGACCTGGAAAAAGTGTAGGCACAGGGATCCCCCTAAAAGTGTGCGCCAAACCGGTCCCGGAACGGTGGCTCGTTCGCGCATGTTTCCGTTGGTGTCGGGTTGGTCTACAGGGCCCGCCATTTTTCCCGGTAAGTTTGTCTATTCTAGGGGCTGATTCCCCATTCTTTTCAACTATCATTCTTTTCAAACACCGGCCGTTTTCCCCGGGTTTCCGCAGGTTTTCTAGAAAGAAGGATCCCTGGAAAGAATGGGGGAGGTACCCCTAGACTTATGGGAAAGGGATCTGCTCATTTGTTCCGCCGATCTCCGATTTCAGGTGCAGCTGGCCTCAGAGAGGAACATCGACCAGGCGGGGAACTGTCGCCTGGACCTCAAACTGCCCCATGTGCCCAATGTTTTGGTGAGGATCTTGAAGGAGGGTACTTGTTAAGGGGAACATGGTGTCAATCCATTTTTTTTTTTTTTTTTAAATAAGTCCAAGTGTTTGTTCTTTGGAGTGTCATTTCCCGACTTGAAGGATAGTTTGAGGATCCAGAAGGGGGAACGACCAAGATTCAATCACTAAAACCAGGCGGAAAGGACCCGCTCAATTTTCCCACGTCTCACGTCTACCCTTTGCAGTTGCTGGCATTGCAGGGTCTAGGAAGGTTTGGGTTTGTCTCCGAAGGGGGGGCGTCTCAAGACAGACTGCGTGTTGTCCTTTGTTTCCCTTCAAGCAACCCAAAGCAGAATCCTCAAAGATGCTGGTGTCAAGCAAAGCCACTATTTTAGATCAAACCTGGATAGCTGAATGTCGCAGCTATAAATGGGTGCAATCACTTTGTCAAACACAGATTGGGGTAGACTCTTTTTGTCCCAGCTATAAATAGGTGCGATCGCTCTTTTGAACGCAGATTGGGGTAGACTCTTTTGTAATATCAGGTTTGATCATGACTTATGACCGACGGACTTATTCCGTATGCGCTAGAATGGGGTGATTCACATTCCCAGGGGTGTGGGGTTTGCCCAAGGTCAGCTGACGAGCCATTGCTCATTGGGTAGACACTGGCCATTGCTCATTGAAGGCATGGAAGGCCTAGGAAGCTTGGATCCCCAGATGTGGGGGGATTGATTGCTCAGGTGCTTTCCGAGTTCCGGGAGTATGCATCAGAGGCGTCGACCGGGTGGGTGAGGTGAGGCGCATTGCTGAAGGATTCCTGCATGTTCTTGGTGTGTTGCACCTCTTGCATGCTGTGCGGTGATGCCCAACAAAGTCGTTTTTGGACAGATGATCGACGTTTGGCAGATCTCTCCTTCCTTTGTACCATTTGGTACTTGCTTCCCTGTCGCCCAAACAGACCTCTTTGTTGACCTCCATGTTGCTTCTTCGTCGCTTCACCGAATGATTGCAGCCCACTTTCATTCTCTCCATTCCGCATCTTCCGCTTTCTTGCTGTTTCAGGTGGCTGAAAGGTCGGGGCATCGGAGCGATGGAAGATGCCGCGGCATGGAGCCGCCAGGCGGCGCCCCGGATGCCCCGGATGCCCCGGATGCCCCGGATGAGTGGCAGGACCTGGCGGAGTGCCTTCGGAGCAAGGCGGCGTTCGTGCGGCTGGAGCGGCCGAACCGAGTCTGCCTCGGCTGCCGGACCAGCCTGGAGCCGGCCAAGGGGAAGTGGGTGCACTACGCGGTGTGCCCGCACAGCACCTTGGGAGTGAACAGTCGCAGGTGACCGTTTGTTCCAATGGGAGAGCGGGGTCTGGGAAGAGGTTCAGGTGACAACTCGGTGCTTTGTTTTCTTTTCTTGCCAGCTTACTCAACCGAAATGAGCGAGAAGAACGAAGCTAACAACCAGCCGCCACGGCCGAACAAAGATCAACCTTCACCGGCCGCGTTGGGTGGTATCTGGGTGCTCCTTTTGCGGCTTGTTTTAGTGACGCATTTGGGGGGCCTCCCGACTGTGGAGCCCATTTTTGGTGAGCGTAGCTCGCCACCTTTGGAAACCCCTCATTTTGGGTAGTTTGAGGGTACCCGGTTTTGAATGTTTCGAGCAGGGAAACCACAAAAGCTGACCTCCGGGGTTGGTAACGAGAACAAAATGGGTCCCAAGCTATGTTTGACACATACCCGTTTTTGGGGCTGCTAGCCCAACAACACAAAGACATAAAGCCAGGGGAAGCAAAAGACACGAAATCCACCCCTGGCTTTCTGCGACGTGATCCGCTTCTACAGGAGGCATGGAGTCTCAACAGAGATCACATGTTCCAAAATCGGTTGAACGGGCACGCACACCCACCAAACAGGGTACCCTCCAAACACACGCGTGCTGCCGCTATCTGCCGCCGTTTTTCAAGGTGATACCCAAAACCGCTCCCCCCAGATTTCACCCCGCACCCTTTTGCGGGTACGTGTTTTTGTTAAGACCATCAAAAAGAACCCGGGGCGGGATTTCCTTTGGGTTTCCCTAAGCCACCAAAAAAACAAAACACAATCCAAAGACGGGGGCGCCCTGACAGCACCGAGCCGCGCCTCCGCGCACCGAGCCTCCGCTCGATCCGAGGACGGCTTCCCCGGCAGAAGCCGCCGGAGGCGGTGCGGCTGTGCCGCAACGCCCCGGAGCTGCGGAAGCGGAGCTCCAGCCACCTGGCGCTGGTGAAGCGCGGGGAGCGGCCCAAGATCCAGCACCTGCGCCTGCTGAGGCGGCGCTTCTGCTTTTTTTTTTGGCCGCTCTTCTTGTTTTTTCTCTTTTTCCCCGCTGCTTATTTTTTGTTTGGGTTGTTGTGGGTTAGTTGGCTGGCTAAGTAACTGGCTAGTTAGCTAGTTGGCAGGGAAGAACCGTGTTTGGGTTGATTTTTGGTTTTTTGTTGTTGGTTAGATAGTGAGCCAACTAACTAGCTAGTTGGTTAGAGGCGGTGAAGAGCATGGTTTCAAGAGGTGGGTTGATGAAAACGACACCAAAGGAGCTTGTTGAACAAGTCGTGGTGTACATCCGTTTGGGCAGGTAGTTCTGAGCCCCCGAGGCGGTGCCAGCACGGACATCGGGCCAGGACCTGCGTGCAGTGCCATGGATGCGAGCACGGGAAGCTCCACTACCGCTGCCAGGAGTGTGTTTGTGTTTGTGTTTGCGAGTGTGTGTGTGTGTGTGTTTCTGTTTGCGCTTTTTTTCTCCTTCGGTGGGGAGGGCGAGGAGAGAAAGGATGGTGTCCTGGCCCTGCAGGTTTTGTCTTGAAGTCAATTTGTGCATTGTGCGGGTGCTTGCTAGCGGTGCAGTTTGGTGTTTGTTTTTTCCAGCCACCCTCAAGCAACCCCTTGGTGATTTACACTGCTGGTTTGGGGATTTGACTTTGCTTCGTGTAGAGGGTAAATGGGGCTTCCCCCACCTTTGGCTCCTAAGCTCCAAACCACCCATCCAAACCACTCGTTTGGAGGGAGACTGTCTCTGTCTCAGGAGTGCAGAGAGGACTGCCCTCATGGGAAGTTCTTCCGACACTGCAACGTCTGTGCAGGCTGCGAGCACGGGGAAGTCAAGGATAGCTGTAAGAAGTGTCGTGGCTGCTGCTTTGGCGGGTGATTAGCACGGATTTCGCGATTTGTAGTGGTGCTTCCAGGGAACCTGCAAACGTACACCTGATGATTTCGGGGTGCTTGGGCTGAGTGAGGATACCAATGTTTTTCTCACTTTCTCGCTATTTCGATTTTGTATATTGACCTCCTCTCCTCGGAGACAATAGCCAAGGCAAGCACGGCGTCCTCAAGGTCGCCTGCCGGCTCTGCAACCCTTGCCCTCACGGGCGCCTGAAAAGCGGCTGCATCCAGTGCAGCCAGTGCCCGCACCAGCGCCTTCGGCAGAACTGCCCCAAGTGCAGCGGCTGCATCCACGGGAAGGTTTGGCAGCACTGCACCGTGTGCAATACTTGCAAGCACGGGAACCACCGACTCTCCTGCCCTCTTTGCCGAGGCTGCAAGCATGGCAAGCAGGCCCGCTTCTGCAGCCAATGCCAGCCCTGTACGCATGGAAAGGACTTGGCGCATTGTGTGCAGTGTGCTGGCTGTCCTCACGGAAAGTTACCGCACAACTGCAAGCACTGCAGTGGCTGCCCGCATGGGCGTGTAAAGCGTTTTTGCGGAGCTTGCAACCCATGCCCTCATGGCAAGCGCAAGCAAGCCTGCTTGCAGTGCAATGCTTGCGAGCATGGCAACCTGAAAGGCTCCTGTGCAGAGTGCAAGAGCTGTCCGCACGGGAAAACAAGACGCTTTTGTTCAAGTTGTAATCCGTGCCCTCACGGCAAAAGTAAGGTTGGCTGCCTGCAGTGCAATGGTTGCCCGCATGGCAAGCTGAAAGGCTCTTGTGCAGAGTGCAAGGCCTGTCCACATGGTCGTGTCAGGCGCTTCTGCTCTAGCTGCAATCCGTGCCCCCACGGTAAGAGCAAGCAGAGCTGCCTCCAGTGCAATGCCTGCCCGCATGGGAAGAAGAAAGGTTCCTGTGCACAGTGCAAAGGCTGTCCCCACGGCAAAGTGAGAAGGAACTGCACGAAGTGCAATGATTGCGGCCACGGGAAGCTGGCCTGGTTTTGTCCCGTCTGCAAGGGGAAGAAGGCGACTTAGGCCGAGCTGGAAGTATACAGGGTGCAGCTTGCGCCGAGAGGGGTTGTGGCGCCGGGCTCCAACGCCCAAGGCTGCCCAGGACCACAGACCTGTCGCTCAATGCAAAAAGGAGCGCGGACGGGTGCGCGACCCGTGGAATGATATTTGGCTGTGGGTCAAAACCAATGGACCGTTTTGGGGTAGGTGCACCACCCACTTTAGTTTATTTTAGCGGGGATTGGGATGTTCACTGGGGCTACGGGATTTTGACCCATGGCCATATAAATGGCCACAAATCCCACTTCTCATGTCCAGCACCACAGGTTTGGCCCTCAATCCCATTCTGCCAGACGCGGGTGTACTTAGCGACCCATTGGGTTGTTGAGGGTTTTGGCCTGGGTTGCCAGATGGGCATGGCTTCCCTTGCTCTTGCTGTAGTGGTGCCCCACGAACGGATAATAGGATTACTGTAGGGATTCCCCCCGTTTTGGAGAGCTCAGTGAAAGGCAGTCAAACCACAGGGGTAGAGATCTGAAACGGTTATTTTTGGCCATTCCTTTGCATAACTATTTCCTTTGGTTTTCCCTTTGCAAAATGGCCCTCCAATGTTCGACCCTCGTGCGGATTTGCACGGATCAGGTGTCAGGTCTGATCGGAGCTTTCTATGCGAAGCCACTGTAAGCAGCTTGAGTCAAGATATGTCTCGTTCAGAGGTGGGACTGGGACCATCTGGGCAAATGTGCGCTGTGCAACGGGTGGTGCTCCGACGGCACGTGCAAGCTGTGCAACCCAGTTCCCGCTTTCCTTTTTGGAGAAGGGTATCCCTCTAAAATAAATTTACCAACAACGAGGTCCCTTTGTTTCTTGTGGATATCGAGGCAATGGCTGCAAAAGAGCAATTGTGCTTTATATCAGATTCCGCGGGTGAAATGCATCAACTGCCTTTTTGTCTCTGGTCCGGCTGAGCGGCTTCCTGATAATCGGGCGGGATTCTGATGGGCCCATGCAAGGCTGCGTAAGACTGCAACGCTCTATTTGGAGCTGAAGGTCAATGGGGGCACGGGGATAGGGTCTGGCACTTGTATGCTTGGATGGCGTTAGGTGTTTGGGATATGCTATATGATTTGAGCAACCCTTGCAGTGCATAAGGCTTTGTTTGAGTATCATATGAGTATTGCTCCCTATTTCAACTTATGAAGGACATGGAAGATTATTAAGGCATGGCCACCTGATATACTCCCTTTCTGAGCTGATTTCAGGTGATAAAACATTTGTTCCTCGCACCCATGTGGGCCATGCCGGAGGTGGACATTGTGGTGGTCCGACACTCCGTGCGGGCCATTGGTCAGGCGCCGCCTTTTTTTCCAAGTTGTTGTTGTCTTTTTCTTCTTCTTTTTTTCTGCATGTTTTCCCTGTTTTGTTCATTTCTTTTCTTTTTTCCAGTTTTTCTTTTGAACCATCCAAAGGTTTCCTCCCGGTGACGTTCTTTTTTGGCCCCCACCCGAGAATTTGTGTTTAGTGTTCTTTCATTGGGTTAGCGCCTCTTTTTATAGGGCCCTAGGGCTGAAGACAGGAAAAAAGGCCCGGGCGACTCGGGCCACCCCCCCTTCCCTTCCCTGGACGCGCGGGGTCGTCCCGTCAAAGGCGGCCATCAAGATTGAGCGGGCTGCCGAGCGGTGTGTGGACTGCCTACTGGAGCTCATCAAGACCAAGGCGCCGATGGCCAAACGGCCAACAATGCCCCAAATGGTTGATTTCTTTTGGTTTCCTTGAAAAAAGCCCACCCAAGATTTTGGGACACCCGGATGGGCAAGTATACGTTCAAGTAGATGTTGCCGAGTTTTTTAGAATGTTGACTTCAGATTTTGGGCACACCCACCTATGAGGAAGCCTTCTTACTTGGGAGTTGTTATATTTTTTTCAGTTTGGGGATTTGCGCAATTTTCCCGAATTAATGCGCCAACATCCCCGGTAGCGCGAAGTCTGCACAGGACATCGGGTTTGCCGGCTGACCTGAAAGGCGCATCCGAATGTTTCCACCGGGCAAACACCGCCCAGGGCTCCAGAGTTGTTTGTATTTCCCATTATGTCCCGCCCGCTTGAAGGACATTCACGAAAAGAGTGGCGTTGGTGTTGAACCAACTGGAGCAAACGTGGCAGGTCAACTACGTGGTCCAGGAGGCCATCGTCGTGATCCGTGACATTTTCAGGAAGTATCCGGGCAAGCAGCCTGGCGAGAATTGGAAAGCAACACCGCCAACTTGTTTTTGTCTTTTTCCTGTTTTGACGCATCACCATTGGGTGGTTATCGTCCATGGGCTTGTTTGGTTTTCCATTCGGCTTTCCCTTTCGAAACAACCTGAAATGAGACACAGACGCCCGAATGGATTTGCCTCAGGTATGAGATCATCATCTCCGACTTGTGCGAGAACCTGGATAGCCTGGATGAGCCTGATGCCAAGGCGGCCATGATTTGGATCGTCGGGGAGTACGCCGAGAGGACAGGGCGCGAGGGCTCGAATGTGGGGAGATGGTGGGTGGTGTGCAGCTTTTCCAAGTCGCGCAAACAGAGGGCCAGAATACCTACTACTTCCCTCACTTCCTTCCAGATACTGTTTTTTTTTGCTTTGGACCGAAGGTGTCGAAGAGTGACCACAGGATTGACAACAGCAGTGACCTGCTAGAGTCCTTCTTGGAGTCCTTCCACGAGGCAGGGGGGCCAGCGGGGAGCGAGCGAGCGAGGCTTCCGGAAGCTCGGCGTCTCAAGAAAAGGTAGCAACAGGGGTGGCTTTCCTCCCAGGTTGCCCCGCGACACACGGTCAGTGAGCCCCCGGTCTGCGGGCCCCAGGTTGCGAACACGGGTGTATGGTTCGGACTCATTGCGAGTGGAACATAGGGGGGCTCACTGCATGACGCACAAACAGGAGGCTCACTCATTTTCTCTTGTCCACCATGGGAACAGCATATTTTGAGCATGGCTCCCGTCTGCTTGGTACGAGTCTTCTTTGGCTCGACGTTGAACCGAACCTTTCAACTTGTTTGGGCAGTTTGATCCTGGACCTTCAAACTATCCTCAAACTCGGGGGGATGTCCGCATGATTTTGTGCAACATCCAATTGTTAAGGATCGTTTGAGGGCACGCGTAGCTTTCTCACACCAGCTCTTTCGCAGTGGGGGGTTCAAATGGTCCATCTTAGGCATGAAAGCCAGCCACTGGGGGGTGGAGGGTGGGGTGGAGCTTGGGTACGGCGCAATTTCAACCACCTTCCTCTCCCTTTGCAACGCCAAGCAGGGCCCTGAAAAGGCAATGCGCCTCCAAGCCAAAGGGTCGAAGGCTGAACAAAATGCTCCTGGCCCGCCGATGTCACGCCAGGAGCCGGCCTCCGTGCAGCATCAGATCCTCACGGCCACAGTGAAGATGTGCATCAAGATCCCGCAGGCCGGCGGAGGTCGGGGAGCTGAAGCCGACTTTGCCGGCGGAAGTCGGGGCGGCAAATCTCTTCGCCCGCGGGCTGGTTCAAGCGTTCAACCGGGTTCCCCCATGTGTCCCTGCTGTTGAGCATCACCAGTTCGGGGCCAGATTGAAGTGGGTAATATACATTGGAAGCATCAGAAAGGTGGTCCCTAGTTTAAGTTTAGGACACCCTGACAAGTGAGGCATCACACCAGGAAACGCTGTGGGCACTTGACAGATGTCCCCTGCACACTTGACAGATGTCCCTGGGCTTGATCATTTTTTTTCAGATGAAGCCCAGCACCAAAGAAACACCATTTTGATAACTCCTCAATGGGCAGTATTTAAGATTCATCACCTCGTCTGCTCCGAAAATATTGGCACATGGACCCACTCAATGACCGAGAGAGGAGGTGGTGTTGAAATGATACGCGAGTAGGAAACGCCCGGCTTCTTTTCTCAACTCGCGACCCCCAGAGGATCGACCCCCAGATGCCCACTTCTTGCCGGTCAGTGTTGGTCAGAAGCAGATTTACCAACAACATTCTGTTTTTGTGTATTCTCTCGCCATACGCCAAGTCCTTTTGGCGAGAGCCCCGACAAAAATAACTTCAAGCAGAGTTCTGTCCAATCTCAACTTTGTCATTTCACGAAGCCTGACATTCAATTGGCACACCTTCTCTATACCGTAGTGTACTTCTAACTGACATTCACCAAAAGGTTTCCAATGGCTGGTCTTTCTTTTGGTTTCCCCTTTTTAAAGCCCTCCCAAAGGAGGTAGGAGGTACCAACTCCAAAAAAGACCGAAAACAATTTCGGGTCCGCTGCGCTATCGGCCTTTCCAGTCCTCCCGGGAGCTGGTGGGCCGAGTGTTGAAGCTGTGCACCGACGAGAGCACCAACCCGGACCTCAGGGACAGGGGCTACATGTACTGGAGGAGCCGATGTCTTGCTGGAGAGGGAGTGAAGATGAAATCCTTCACGGCTCTTGGCATGTTTTTTTTTTTTTTTTCAAGTTTGAATTAGTTGTTTACTTGTCGTGTGGTTCTGTTTTTAAGAACAAGGAGCTTTGTTGGTACCATACCAAGGTGTGGGCAGGTTCTGTTTTTGGATTTAACCCCAAAAGAGTTTGATTGGGGCCTCGGGAAATCAGTCAGGGAAGCTTTCATGGTAAAGACAGCAAAGGGTGGCCACGCCTATTTCTGGCCTTGGTTTCGATTGTGGCCCAGGTGAACATCTTCAAGGGTTTTCAGAGTACCGTAAGGGTTGTACCGCGAATCCACAAAGGCCTTGTAAGACTAACTCCCAGAAAAGACCTGGGTATTGGGCACATCTGCGGCAAAGTATGTATAGATCATCCAGGAAGTGACACCCAAAGGAACGGAGGTCGCCAAAGAAAAAAAGAGCTATAGTTTTGCCCTATAACTTGTCCCGAGACATGCTGGTACGTCCATGTCCCGCCCAAACAGACCATAAACTGCTGGAAGAAATTCCCGGCCCCTTTCAGAGCCGACCCAGAAACGGGAAGCAGCTTTTCCCACCATTGGGACATAAGCCCCTCCTGTTGCTTTGGACCCAGCAAGCAAGGAAACACACACACACAGGAAAGCACACAAACAAACAAACAAACAAACTAACTAACAAACAAACAAACAAACAAACAAGCAAGCAAGCAAGCAAGCAAGAAGGCACGCAAGCAAGCAAGCAAGCAAGCAAACAAACAAAGCAAAGCAAAGCAAGCAAGCAAGCAAGCAAGCAAGCAAGCAAGCAAGCAAGCAAGCAAGCAAGCAAGCAAGCAAGCAAGCAAGCAAGCAAGCAAGCAAGCAAGCAAGCAAGCAAGCAAGCAAGCAAGCAAGCAAGCAAGCAAGCAAGCAAGCAAGCAAGCAAGCAAGCAAGCAAGCAAGCAAGCAAGCAAGCAAGCAAGCAAGCAAGCAAGCAAGCAAGCAAGCAAGCAAGCAAGCAAGCAAGCAAGCAAGCAAGCAAGCAAGCAAGCAAGCAAGCAAGCAAGCAAGCAAGCAAGCAAGCAAGCAAACAAACAAGCAAAACAAACAAACCAAGAAGGGCAAACAAACAGCCGGACTTTTGACAATGGACATTCGGCTTGTGAATTCCTTCCAAACTACCTGATGGTTTCCACGACTCCGTTCGCTCTTTTGGCGTGAAAGGGAAGCCCTTGGCTTCGCAAGAGCCGAAGGTTGGTTGAATTGGCTGACCTGACTGTGAGTCGCGCACGGCTTTAGGCCGCATGTCATCTCCGAAATGGGGTTGGACTTCGCTTGTTTTGAGAGCAGCCTTTGCATGCCGCTTGCAAGTGGGGATGCCTCTCAATATCGTGGGGCCCTCCTTTTCGATCTTTTCGGCAAGAGAGGTGGTTCATTTGCGCCGGGCCCGGAACACCTCTTGGCCATTTCAATAGGTACCTTGAAGCTTTTGGGGGTATGGTCAACCCCCCTGGGGACCGCAGGTTTTGGTGCTTGCTTCCATCTACCAGGCTTCGAATTTGGGGGGTTACCCTATCCATTGACCCACTACCCATGGTTGCATCCCGTTCTTTTCTCTGTTTTCCTGAAAGCATGGCGAAGGGTTCTTCCGTTGGGTTCATGGGAGTTATCATCATGACAGTCATTGCAAAGAGTTATCATCATCAGAGTCATTGCACAGAGTCATTGCACAGAGTCATTGCACAAAGTCATTTGCACAGAACCATTGCACAGAGTCATTGCACAGAGAGTCACTTGCGAGGCGAAATGCTCGTGAGAGCGTGGTCGACGTGAAAAAAACTGAGGACCGTTTTACGATTTCTGCGGTGCGCGCGCGCGACCCTCTGCGGAGATCGGCGTGGTCGATGTTAAGAAGCTGAGGACATTTTACGATTTCGGCGGCGCGCGCGACCCTCTGCGGAGATCCGCGTGGTCGATCTTCAAACACGGAGGACTTTTTTACGATGTTTAGTCTGTGCGCACGACCCTCTGCGGAGATCGGCGTGGTCGCTGTTTTAAAATTGAGGACCTTTAACATGCCCGGGCGACCCTCTGTGCAGATCGGCGTGGTCGAAGGGCTGTCGCTGTCGCCGTGCGAATTTGCAAAGTGCCCGGTGAACCCTCTGCGGGGATCGTGCGTGTCGAAGCGCGCTCGTGGCGCCGTGCGAATTTGTTTCGCGTGGTTTGCGCGGCTGCTCTCGGAGTCGCACGGTCGCGGGTTCGATCCCCGCCTGGTCCGCGGCAGCTTTTCTAGACAGAAATCGCAACTTTTAAGAGCAAACATAGTACGCGGAGTGCAGTCCTGCAGCTCCGGCTGCATAATGGAACTCTTCAAGCAGAGAGGTGTGCAAAGTACTTCCCGAAAGCTCCGGCAGCACTTGCGCAGAGCAGCTTGCACAGAGGAACTTGCACAGCGCGCTTACGCAGAGCAACCTGCGCAAAGCAACTTCCACAGAGCGCTTGCACGGACCAGCTAGCGCAGGGCAACTTGGGCAGAGGAAAAGCCAGGTTGTTCCGTTGGGAGAATTATTATCATGAGAGTCATTGCACCGAGTCATCGTGACAGCCATTGCATAGAGTCAGCGCACAAGAGTCATTGAACGGAGTCATCACAAGAGTCATTGCGCAGAGTCATTATGAGAGTCATTGCACAGAATCATCATGAGTGTCATTGCGCAGAGTCATCATGAGAGTCATTGCACAGAGTCACCATGGGAGTCATTTGTGTTGTAGTCACTGTTTTGCACGAGGGCGGTATATGTGTCATCTTTGACGTGCTTGGCAAACTCGTGTGAGGGGGCTCCGATAGTTAGCAAGCTAGTATTGCTCGTGACCAGGTCAAGTTTTGCGAATCTGTGGCAGTGCTATCTCAGCATCGGCTCAAGCGCATATCGTGGAGCGCGATTTAGCTAGACTTCAGGCAGGCGCGGCTCGTCATGGCCTTCCGTGGCTTGAAATCGTAGCCAAGCGCAAGAAGAGAAGGACATGGTCTGGGGCCTGCTCGCCGCGAAGCCGGAGGTCGCGAGCAACAAGCGAAAGTGAAGCGCTCCTCTTCTTCCAGAGCAGGGGAAACGCCTTCGAAAGTGAAGTGCTCTTCTTGCTGTAGCTGATGGCTGTTTGTAGCTGACATCTTTCGGGCCAACCGTGGTCTAGTTTTTTTTGGGGGGCTCGTTGGTTTCACATTTGGAGTTCTTCGGCTCCTTCTGGCGAAAGTTTCGAAGATGTCGCAGGATGCTGAGCAAAACGCCCGAGCTGGCCAGACAGGCGCGCTTCCGCGGCTGAGTTGGCTACGAGGGTTTCAAGAGGCCCACTGTCTACTGTGTGTAATTACTTGTATTATTTTTGTATATATGTATATACATATGTAATATTCATAGTACAAGATATACATATATACACACGTGGGTTTGTCTTTCTGTGAGGGTGGCTTTTTGTTGTGGTTTTCAATGGACACCGAAAGGACAACCACAATTTGTGCCTCGTATGTTGAAGCTTCTCAAAATTGTGGACCCCCTTTTGGCGGTATTAAGGAGGACACCAAGAGGAGACTAACCATCTTAGGAATCGGCCTATTTTGAGCACCGCTCATATGTATGTGTGCTTTTGAGGATATCCTTCCTTGACATACTGGGTATTCGAAGCATGCTGCCCATTGAAAGCAAGCCCTATGGAGAGAATCGTCCAATGCGTAGATGGTTTTGCTCAGGTTGTCCTCAGCGAGAGGCCGACCATCAGTGAGAACTCTTTTGTTTGCGCCCCAGGAAGCTGCAGAGGTGAGCTTTGGTTTCAACCTGGTTCATTAAGTTACCAGAGGAATCCAGCTATGTTTGCAATTAGACACCCGGGGGAAGCTGCGCAAGACAGAGGCCCCGTCAAACTTGCATTTGTTTGCCTCCTTTTTCAAGCAACTTCCAAAAGTTGAGTCTCCAACAGAGGGGGTTTGGTGTATCATGAGCACAAGAAATGGACCTCCCCCAATCCAAACGGGGTCTGGGTATCCCTTTTGGACGTTAAGGGTTGTGGCCCAAGCCCCAGCCGGGGGGTGGGGGGTAATCAGTTTGATGGTTTGAGCCCTCCTTGAATGAGCTGGCCAGTTGCCAACATTCCTCCCCTTTTGGGTGGGTTTCCACCCAAATAGGTTCACTCCACGGAGACCAGTTCTTGTTGAAAGCGAGCAGCGGGGTGGATGTTTGACCCCAAGCCCTGTCGGCTTCCGAGGCCTTGCAGCCCAGGGTTCTGGACCGCCTGATCACCAACATCTCCACCTTGGCCTCGGTGTACCACCAGGCGCGCCGCGGCGCCGTTGGTTTGACCGGGCCAAGCGCATTTGCTTCCGCTTCCCCCCGCCTCCCCCACCGCCACCACCCAAATTTTACATCACTGTTAGGATCGGGATGCTTCCCCACGTTTTTCCTCTTTGGGTATTGTGTTAGTGGGAGGGTACTCTCTTTCCGATCATGGATGTGGACAGGGGCCTTCCAAAAGGACGAAGTCTTCCTCCTGTCAGCTCCCATTTTGGAGACTTCACAACCCAAAAGTTCCTCCCCCCCCCCAACCCCCCCCACCCCCCCTACCCCCTCACCCCGTCCCTCCATCCCCCCTCCATCCCCCCTCCATCCCCCCCCCTCCATCCCCCCCCCTCCATCCCCCCCCTCCATCCCCCCCCCTCCATCCCCCCCCTCCATCCCCCCCTCCATCCCCCCCCTCCATCCCCCACCCAACCCCTCATGCAAATCCCAGGTGCCGGAGGCCTTCTGCGACCTGAACCGGGGCGCGCGGAACGTGGAGGAGGACGAGTCCGAGGCTCCGGAGCTCGGGACGCGATTTGGCCGACGGCGCGGCGCGGTTTTTGCGGGCCTAGTTTGGACAGGGAAAGGGACGCCTTGGTGCCTCAACATTTTTGGGGCATGGTCCGTGGTGTTGCTCGATATCAACCCGTGTTCCTTGTGATGTTGTAGTTTGCGTCTAGGGTTGGGTCTTGGCAGGACTACTCGGAGACCATCCAGCGGGTACAGGAGGAGATTCAGCAGACTGCCGGGAAGACGACGGGGACTCGGAGCGAGCGATGCGCAGGGCGTGAGAGTCGGAGGTCTCGAAAGGTTCGATGCAAAATGGATGGCTGGCTCTTTGAATCGGTTGCATCAAGTACCCAAGTATTTGGACACGCGCATCAACTAGATTTTGTCTATTTGGGACCTGTGACGATGGTTCAAGTCTTGTCGGTCTGTCATTTTGGAAGACACGCCAACATGCTCGTGTATGCATGCATCGTATTTTGAGGGGCTGTGAAAAGTTTGCCACCATGGTCATCAAGCAATCTGAAACAAACGGCACGAGGATGCCGATCAAGGGGATCATGACAGTGACTTGGAGTTCTGAAAAACAGGGGCAAGGAAGAGGTGGTTGCCAAGTTCGACTGAAAGAATAGCGGTAGCATGGCCCGTGATTGAAGCCAAAGGTACGAAGAGGAGTCTGGCGAAGAGGTCAGTGAGGCGCTTCTTTTGGACCGCATGCGCTTTTTTGGACACCCTCTTGGGTGTGTTTAGAAGTGAACCCAAGAGCAATCCGAGCATATCCCACCCCAACATCCCGAGTCTAGAATCCCATTCGAAGAACCGCGTGGCAACTTGTCCTCTTTGCTAGACTCTGAAATGGCAGTGGGTCAAAAATAGGTACCCAAAATGGATCCCTGGTAACTGGAAACATGGACTAAAACCTGCGGTCCCCTGGTGGTTTAATTTTGACCCATAACCAAATTGGTTTCCTTTTCAGGCCCCGGTCCCCAATTTCATGCTCAATCCAGGCGTGCCATCATTTTCCACAGTTTTCCCTTCGCCCAGAATTGGCCCCCTTACTCCCCTTACGGAGGATTGTGCGGTGCCTTTCTTCTCACTAGGGAAGGAGGAAACGAACCCAATCCACTTCAAGGAAACCACCAGTAAAAATGTAAGTAGGGGAACGCCAATCCCCTTCAAGGAAACCACCAGTGGGATGTAATTGGAATGAACGCAATCCCCTCAAGGACACCACCAATGAATTGTAAGTAGGGGAACGCCAATCCCCAATCCCCTTCAAGGAAACCAGCAGTGGGATGTAATTGGAATGAACGCAATCCTCTTCAAGGACACCACCAATAAAATGTAAGTAGGGGAACGCCAATCCCCTTCAAGGAAACCACCAGTGGGATGTAATTGGAATGAACGCAATCCCCTCAAGGACACCACCAATAAAATGTAAGTAGGGGAACGCCAATCCCCAATCCCCTTCAAGGAAACCACCAGTGGGATGTAATTGGAATGAACGCAATCCTCTTCAAGGACACCACCAGTAAAATGTAAGTAGGGGAACGCCAATCCCCTTCAAGGAAACCACCAGTGGGATGTAATTGGAATGAACGCAATCCCCTCAAGGACACCACCAATAAAATGTAAGTAGGGCCCTTCAAGGAAACCACCAGTAAAATGTAATTGGAATGAACGCAATCCCCTCAAGGACACCACCAATAAAATGTAAGTAGGGGAACGCCAATCCCCTTCAAGGAAACCACCAGTGGGATGTAATTGGAATGAACGCAATCCCCTCAAGGATACCACCAATAAAATGTAAGTAGGGGAACGCCAATCCCCTTCAAGGAAACCACCAGTGGGATGTAATTGGAATGAACGCAATCCCCTCAAGGACACCACCAATAAAATGTAAGTAGGGGAACGCCAATCCCCTTCAAGGAAACCACCAGTGGGATGTAATTGGAATGAACGCAATCCCCTCAAGGACACCACCAGTAAAATGTAAGTAGGGGAACGCCAATCCCCTTCAAGGAAACCACCAGTGGGATGTAATTGGAATGAACGCAATCCCCTGAAGGACACCACCAATAAAATGTAAGTAGGGGGAACGCCAATCCCCTTCAAGGAAACCACCAGTGGGATGTAATTGGAATGAACGCAATCCCCTCAAGGACACCACCAATAAAATGTAAGTAGGGGAACGCCAATCCCCTTCAAGGAAACCACCAGTGGGATGTAATTGGAATGAACGCAATCCCCTCAAGGACACCACCAGGAAAATGTAAGTAGGGGAACGCCAATCCCCAATCCCCTTCAAGGAAACCACCAGTGGGATGTAATTGGAATGAACGCAATCCTCTTCAAGGACACCACCAATAAAATGTAATTAGGGGTCCTTCGGTTTCTCATTCCGAAGCGCACCGAATCGCAAGTCTTGCCCCAACCCACAAGAGCGCGCGCAATGCCGGCGGCCAGGAGGAGAGCGAGAGCAGCGGCTCCGAGAAGGGTGCGGCCGCCAGCGGCGGGGTTTTGGGGCCTTTTTTTTCCGGGTGGGATTTGTTGTGCTTTTTTTTTAGACGTGAGTGGGGGTTTTGGTGGGTTTTGATGGGTTTTGGTGGGTTTTGGTGTTTTTTTTTGTTGGGGGGGGAGAGGGTTCCTTGTGTTGGTTTGGCGTGATCTGGGATGAGCTGATTAGCTTCTTTTCTCCGATCTTGCGGGTTTGTTTGAGTTTTGTGAGGTACTTACGTTTTCCCCTGGTGGAGTGAGGTTGGGGATTGCAGGGTGGGGGCTTAGCATCTTGACGCGCCCGCTTATAGTTTGTGGGGGTTCATTGGTTCAAAAGGGGGCCAACCAGTAATCGGTGGTGGGGCATTAGGGGCGGGGACGCCAAGCGCTTGGCTGTGGGAAACGGATTTCTGGAACAGAGGCCAACGGTTCCCCTTCCCATGCCATCCGCCCCAGGGTGTGCCAGCCTTCTCGGCGCCGCAGGCTCCGGCGCTGCGGGCGGGCGGCTCGGGGCCGCCGCTTCCACCTCCGGCGCTTCCGGCGGGCGGCGGCGGCGGCGGCGCAGGCGCTGCCGGCGCGCCGCCGCCGCCGCTGCGGCCCTTGGCGCCGGTGCTCACCGAGCAGACGCCTGGGCAGCAGGGCAAGGCCGGGCTCCGGGCCCGGCGGCCCAGAGAAGGGAGCCAGTCGGGGACACACACGGCTGGCCGGTCTTGGGGTCAGAGCCACAGGTTGGATCTTTGGCTCAGGGGAGAAGAACAACCCAGGGATAGGGGACTGAGTCCTCTTGCGAGAATTTGGTGAGGCGAGAGGTGCATGGAATTGTTGATGTTTTGGGTAGACGGGCGAACAGCGGGCATTTGTTGCATTTTGCCGAGCTATTGTCCATGCTTGCCAGCCACGTTTGCCTGAAGATGATTTGGCTGTTCTTTGTTGGTCCCTGATTTTGTTAGCACTTGTTTAGTACTCCAAACGGTGGGGGGAATATGGTCGAAACCCTCCCGAACGCGTTCAGCCCAAGTTTGGCAAAGGATCGCTCCCGCATTCCCTGCTAAGAACGGGGAGAGAGCGAGAGAGAGAGAGAGAGAGAGAGAGAGAGAAAGGGAGAGAAATGAAGAGAGAGACAGAGAGAGAGAGAGAGAGAGAGAGATGCAGATGAGAAGACAGAGAGAAGCAAAGGAGCCAGCAGCAACTGACATTGGAACCTGTTCCCCTGTTAGTCCATGGAATCCCATCCAAAACCGGCGGTGTATCCCAGTCTTCATGGGTTTCATCCATCTTCGGGTTCTTTACGCCGTCTGCGCCCCGAAAGCCGAGGTGGCTGCCGCGGTGGTTCGGGGCAACGGGGGCGCGGTGGGCATGCAGCTTATGGCGCGGGCCTCCGGCTTGCGGTTTCCACGGGGTCCTCCTTTTGGGTGAGGCAACTTTTGGGTTGGTTTCAAAGATAAACCTTGGCTCCATCTTTGGAGCCGGAAAGTGGGGTGCATTTGGGAGGGGCAGGAGGAGAACTTACGCGATTCACCCGCATTTAGGGGATGAGCCATCAATTCCCCTCCCCCCCCTCCGTCTTGGGGGCAAAAAGGCGAGATTGACCGTGGCCGTCTTGGGCAATCGGTTGCTGGACATGGCGCTTGGTTCTGGCAGTGCGCGCAGTGTCAGGTGGGGAACTTCTCTCCACAGCCGATGAGCGGCTGGGCCACTTGGGCGGCAGTTTATCCCACAGCTGCCTCTTCAAAGGTGTCCTTTTTGGTCAATTTGGTCGAAAAATAGATGGCGATTCCTGGTTTACCTGGTGGTTTGATCATCTACCAGGGCCATCTATTTCCCCTAAAAGGACACCTATGTGCCTCTTTCTTTTTGGCTTGGCACCAAGAAGCAATTTATGCGTCCAACGTCCACTACGTTCAGGACGCCAAACTTACGTGCGAAGGAGGCCTCTGAGGTATTGAATGCTCCTTGCTTTTCTTTTTGTTGGCTTGCTAACGTGGCAAACAGTCGCCTTTGGAAGATGATGAATTTGAGCAATCAGAAATACACCAATCCAAGAGCCAACAGAGAAGAGTCCAAACTGTTGGGGACATGTGCGCTGTGAGTTCGTCTCTACACGGGAGCCCCCAAAATTGGTAGTGTTTTGTGGGTTTTGCTTCAAACCCAGAACAATTGGTACCCTCAGATAGAGGCGCGCACACACAGACAAACACGATCCATTTGTCTAAAACACCCCAACTATTCCATACTAACACCCGTTGGTAAAGAGTCGTCCTACTAAGAACAAGCGAGTTGTTAGGCTGTGCAGATGAACAAGAACCCCTTCGGCCTGGCTCCTGCGGGACCGCTGCAGCTGAAAGAGGCCTCAGCCAGACTGGCAGAGTGTGAAACCGCCCTTCCCATGTCCGTTCGGGGAAACAATTAATTTTTTGACCGTGGCTCACACCGAAAGGACCCTTGGCACCAGTTCAGGACCCAAAACCATTTGGGTATGGGTCAAAAAAAACCACCAGGGGACCACAGGTTTTGGTCCATGTTTCCACTTGCCAGGGTTCCATTTGGGGTTACCCTATTTTTGACCCACAGCCATTTGTCATCTACAAAGGACCCGTGGCGCTGCTGATCCAGCCATTCGCCAGGCTTAGATTCACATATAGTGACAATGTGTCTGTCAAGGGGGAACGCCCTCTCGAGAATTGTTCGTAGACATAAACCCTTATATATATATATATTCATTGTGTATATATGGTAGACACAAACCCCTATAATGATGAACACCAAAGGTTCCTGATATATACACAAAACAACATATGCAGGCTCGCTGTTGCAATACACGCCCTGCGGCAGATTCTGATTCATGAGAAGCAACTGTTCCGCTAAGTTTCTTCTTCCTTGTCTACAATGGATGTATACTCCTTTCCATCGCGATGAATAGCTTGGCTTCTTTCTGTTTTTTTTCCATGTTTGTTTCACCGAAGTTGGTTGTTGAAGAGGGAGACAAACACAAAACAACAAATGCAAATGTGATGCTTGCTCCAGCTCCCGTGATACTTGCTTTCCCGCTGACGGTCCTGCTGGGATCCGGGTCCCTCACTGCATTCCAGTTTAGGTTCTCAGGTCCCCGAGTGGGAAAATCGAAAACACACCTCTACCGCTTCCCCAGACACGAGTGGGTTTAGGCCCCCAAGCCTCGGAGCCTCCCCACGGATTCCAATTCCAGGAAGGCTCCTCCCAGCTGGTCACGTCTGCAAGTTGGCTCATCGCCCGGGGATGCCTTGGGATGCCTTGGGATGCCTTGGGATGCCTTGGGATGCCTTGGGATGCCTTGGGATGGCCTCGGATCGTTTGAAGGTGCCTCCCAACGGCACGGCCAAAGCCATGCTGCCGCTGGCGCCTAATCAGCTGGCCTCAGGCCGACTCCGGTCGGTTTCGGACCGTGCACTCCGAGCCCAATAGTCAAGAGGGATAAATCTGATCAACTGGTGGTTGGGTCCCGTGATTTTTTTGCCTTGCCGACCAGCTTTCTACCCGGGCGTGTGCAGCAACGAGCAATCCTGTGCCGTTGGTTTCGAGCTCCAGGATAGCTGAGGTTTGAACTCCGGGGTGTTTTTTTTTTTCTTTCGCCGGCGCTCCTTTCTTGGTGGCAGTTGGAGGGGACCAAGAAAAAAACTAGGCATTTGCGTGGGGGTTGCTCACTTGTAGAAAGACGCCGGAGCGCATCCGGGTTGACTGGTTCGCCGGCCGAGCTTTCTCCAGGTCAAAGGCCCTCTTTGATAGTTACACCAGCAACTGACACAGCATTGGGGATGACTGTTAACCCGGATAAATGAGCTTGGTCCTTTGTCGCTCTCCGAAAATGATGACCAGTCAACCAGTGGTTCATCCTATTAATCAACCAGTGGTTCAGAAATTCAGGCGCCTCCCATTGTTCCCTTCAACTATTCTTGACTGTTTTTCGTGTTCGTATGTTAATGTTTAGTGGGTGGCTGCAAAACATGGGGGAGTTCTGTTGCCTACCAGGTGCCCCGCCTTCAATGCCGCTCTTCCTGGAGGCACGGAGATCGAAACGCGTCAAAAGAGCGTGTTTTCTCGCCGTGTGGTTGGTGTCCTTTTGGTTGGTTGGTTGGTTGGTTGGTTGGTTGGTTGGTTGGTTGGTTGGTGTGTTTCTCCAGGTTGTGTCCCCCCTGAAAACCCGCCTGTGAGTTGCCTTGGAAGTCTGCAATGCGCGGCTTTCGCTTCCTGGAGATGCCCGGGACCTGTGACCCTTTGAGTGATCGGGAAGGCGGGGGCTTAAAGAAACGAAGCTCTCCGCGACTGAGCCGATCTGCATTCGTAGTGACATGACTTGGTCTTCGTTTCATCATCATTCGGGGGTGTCGTCATGTCCCCTCTCCATTGCTACAGTAGATGGCAGTGAAGCTGCACTGTTGCTCCCATCCGCTTGGTTTCATTGGTGAAGCCACTGCTCCCTCTTTGATTTCCACAGGGAGGGGTATTTATTTTATGTTTTTTTTCCATTTTTTTTTCGCTTTTGGCTTCTTGGCTTCTTGGCTTTTTGGCTTCTTGGCTTCTTGGCTTTTCGGCCTTCTTGGCTTCTTGGCTTTCTGGGCTTTTCGGCTTTTTGTTGGTTTATGCAGCTGTTGGTGGCTTTTTGGCTTTGGCTTTTCGCATCCTCTGCATTCCCAGTTCCTCTTCGGCAGGTGGCGTTTTGGCTTTTGCGGCGTTTCGCTGGTTTATGCGGCTTTTGGGGGCTTCGGCTTTTCGCATCCTCTGCTTTCACAGTTCCTCTCTGGGCTTTTTGGCTTTTGCACCCTTTCATTGGTTTTTGGATTTGGCTTCCCGCATCATCAGCGTCACAGTTCCTCCCTATGTGAATCACCACTTATTCGAACATCATGGGGGGAAGCCCCCGCTACTGTTTAGATTGTTTGCAGAGTAATTGCACCCCTACTTGAATCAACACTTCTTCAAACATCACCCCTCCGCTACTTTTTAGATTTCTTGCAGAGATTGAATTGCACCCTTATTTGAATCATCACTTTTTCGAGCGTCCCATTTCGCGAGAAAATGCTGCAAAGTACGACATTTTAGGTAATCTGTGCAATCCACGTATGTCTGTATGTATGCACTTCTTCGAACATCATAGGGGAAGCCACCCCCGCCAACCCTCCTGCTGCCTTTTAAATTCTATCGCACCCTTTCTTGAATCATTGCACCCCTACTTGAATCATCAATTCTTCGAACATCATTTGGGGGGACCGGCAGCCCCCCCCAGGAGTGTTAAGCGATGTTAAGCCTTCAAGTTACCGCATGAGAGACGCCAGCGAGTTGGACTGTTTGGAGTTGATGCGGTGCTGCACAAGAGGGCAATCCTATCACTTGCTGCTACTCGCAGGCAAATGCTTCTGCAAAAGGTTCCTTGAACCGAAGAGCCCCCCCCCACCCCTCAGCTACTTTTTCGACTTTTTGCAGAGATTGAATTGCACCCCTATTCGAATTTTCACTTCTTCGAACATCATGGGGGGGGCCCAACCCCCCCGCTACTTGTTAGTTTTTTTTTTTTTTTTTTTTTTTTTTTTTTTTTTTTTTTTTTTAAATTACAGGGACTGAAATGCTCTCGAATGAATCATTTTTTTGACCCGTCTTTCGATTTTGTTACCTACGATTTGTTGGTGATGCTAGGGATGTTTGTCGGACATGTGGGGGATGTTGAAAACGATGCTGGGGATGTTGACGGGCTAGTGTAAAATGCGTCAATTCGCGAGAAAATGCTGTAAAATACAACATTTTACTGGCCCGGACGAAACACGAAAAATAATCCCCAAAAAATCTGAAAAAAATCCCGAAATAAGTCCGCACCCTTTCCACAGATGCGTTGGTCTTTGCGCAGAGAGGTGCCACGTTTGCCGTGCCGACTTTGATTCCCACACCCGCCAAACCACAGCTTGGGTTTGAATACGTCATGTGGTTACGCCTTGGATTTGGGACTCCTTCAAGTGTCCATCCCAACGGGCTTCTTCATTTGACTCATACCCTCCAGGATTCCGTATTGTAGAACACATATGTGTGTGTGTGTGTGTGTGTAAACACAACATACATTCCCTTAGCCCGCACAGGAGCACAGACTGATCCGATGCGTAAGGTGGCGATCAAGACCAATGTGGACGTCTTCTACCTCAGCGCGGCTTGGCGAAGTGCCAGTCACCAGTCACAAGCCGTTCCAGGCCGCTCAGTCGTGTTGATACCTCTGGACCCTCAAACAACCCTAAACAGCGTGTCTTGCTCAATGATTATGGGGTAGTTCTCAAACATTCAGGGTACCTGGAAAAAGGAAGGGTGGATCTCCACCTGCTCTCGGTGTCAACTCACACGCTTCAATATGAAACGTGGCTTTGCCCAGGAATCAAGTTTGGCAAATGTCACAAACCCAAGGAGCGAACCACTTCCCCTACAACAACTCCACAAGTTGGTCGTAGTTTTCCTGCTGTTTGTGTATTTGAAGTTGCTTCGTCTCTCTGGTGCTGACGACTTGCCTCGTAAAGCGAGGTTTTCGGGGTGCAAGTCACTTTGGACACCTGCCAACCTGGGAATGGGTCGCTGCGGCCGTGAGCTCGACTTTGGTTCTCCGCGCACTTGCCCAGTTGGCACCTGGCGTTGTGCCTGGTGTTTTTTTTGACCGATGGATCGCTCGGTGCCACTAGGGCGATAGAAAGGGGGAGCTCTTTGGCCTTGAGTTTTATCGAGCCGGGCATGTGACTTAAATTCTGCTCGGAAGGGGCCGGCAGTTTTCCTCATGGCAAGGCCAGGTGCTTGATTCTTTTTGGAATGTCCTGCAAAGAGCTGCGCAAGCAAGCAGGTATGGGACACGATTCACGATGTTTTCCTGCTGAGAGTATAAAATCTGAGACCAGGGGCACAGTCCACTCGTGAGGTTGGGTACGACCTGTCTGCGGTGCTTGCAGACAACGGGCCGATGGCCAAAGACGCGTTCCAGCGGGTGTGGACGAGCGCGCCGCCTGACAAGAAGGCGACCCGCCGAGTGGGCGAGGGGGGAAGGGGGCCTGGCGCCACATAGACGCGCGAGCAGGCAGTGCCTTTGCATGAGGGAATTTTTCAGAGATGTGCTGCGTCCTGCACATGAAGTTCACTCGTAGGAGTCATCACAAGACCCCAGTTGGGTTGCCTCTCCGCGGTTTTGCCACTGACATGTGGGGGGCGTTCCAACATAAGTAAGCCAAGAGGCTTCCTCATGCTGAGACAAGCCCAGTCACAGTCAGCTGCAAAGAACCACATGGGTTGGTCTCCAATGAAACCCCCCAAATGGGGCACCGCGTCCTGTATTTCCCCCAATTTGGGACACCCATGTTGCACATTTTCTGTCCTTGCACAAAAGCAACAGCAAAAGAACTTGGGTGTGTGTCAAAATAGGGGGGACCCCCAAAAACCTGTTTTTGTTTTGGGCTTCGATTTGAGCCGAGCTGTTTAAGCTGGCGCCGAAGTCGCTCGCCCCGTGCTCGCCAGGCCATGTCCCAGGGGGCCTTTGGAACGAAGGTCACGGCTGAGATGGTGGCCAGCAGGCTGTCGCCTGACGGCTCCGTGTCTTTTGAGATGCGGCCCTCGATTAAAAGCTTTGGGGCACGAGGACACTTCGGAAAAACAGAGAGTGTCTTCTGTCTTCCAAAGAGGACTCTGGGCCCGTTTCTGGCGATGTTTGGCTCACTCCCAGCCAGCATCCAACTTGGGGAGGGGACGCGGGGCCGGGCTCCGTCAGCTCGGCGTTCGGCGTGCGGCAGGCTGCAGCAGTACTACTGCTATCTGGTGGCCCAGACCCAGGCGCGGCGAAATGTTTTGCGCTTGCGCCGCGTTTTTTTTTTCTCCGGAAGTGGCAGTGGCTCAAAATTGACGAGCCAGGGTTGCGCAGGTTTTGGTCTATGTTTCCACTTACCAGGGTTCCATTTTGGTACCGGTTTTTTGAGCCATACCCAAGTCAGAACCACTGCCTTTTTCACTGAGGGAGGAGGTAGGTCCACATCCATCGGAGGGAGCCCGGGCCCCATCAAGAGAAGTGAGACTGATTTGGGAGCGACCTCGTATGGGACAAAGAAATCGGTGGGTAAAGCAGCTGGACGGATGTCAAGTGTTGAGAAAAGATGGAACAAACTCGCATGGTTGCCATGGGACATTGCAGACAAAGCCAAAATGATCTTAGTGGGAGTGATTCCCAAAGCCTTGCATGCTTGTGAAAACTTGCAGTTGGGCGGCAACCACTTTGCAATTTTACGTACTGCAATAGCTGAGTCAATTCAGAGTGCAAGGGGTCGCCCTGACCCACACTTAACATGTGCTATAGCTGGAGGACCCTGCCTTTTATACTTTGCAGCAGTGTGCCACACGCCTATTCTGTGAGATTCCAACAAATGTGGAACACAATGCAGAGGTGTGCGGAGGGGAATAAAAAATCTATGGCCCGTGTGGGGTCCTAGCATAGAGGTTGAACATGGTGAAGTGGACGCCATTGCATAGTTCAAAAATATGCACTGACCAGGGCATCGCATTGGGCTTATTGCAGACAAGCTTCAAAGACCTGGATAGGATGCTGCAAAATCATGGCATTCAGCTGTCCATGCAGCCAGAAAAAAGAAAAACAACACAGTACGCATGGCACCAAGAGACTGACGTTCAAAAAACACACAAAGTCGTGAATGCTATGAAGAAAACGGAAAGGAAGGCAACACTTCCGGTGATAGTCACAGCATTTCAAATCTGACATTGTGCTGTTTAAATACAAGCCACATGTGTCAGAAACTTGCAACCGATGCAGTGAGGCAACAGCTGCAATGAATCATCGCTTGTGGCAGTGCGCTAACAAAGTGCCTGGGTTCACACCGATTTTGCCTTGGTAGCGGTGAGTGACCTGGAAGCCCAAGTTGAGTTACCGGTTGAAAGCAGATGTACCGAAATGTGGAACTTCTATTCAGATGGAAGCACCTCAATAAACAATCACCCCGGGTTGCGCGACGCAGGCTCTGCAATCGCAGGAAGAATCTTTCAATCGGTGCAAGCAAAATAATGAATCATTACACAATACAAGCAGGAGAGACTAACTCCGGTAACTTTCCTGCATGTGGGTTAGTGGAGGAAACCAAAGCATCAACAGAGTGGGATTGTGTGCAATAGTCTATGCTTGGGCCGCTTCGACTAAGTCTAGGATTCACAGCGACAAACAATTCTCTGTCGACATGATGCATCACACCCAGAGATTTATGCTTTGCCTGTGATGTCGACAAACGATATAGGGAGCGTGAGGTTGACATCAGAAAAGGGGCTGCTCATACCGACATAGCTCAAGGGGAGGACGCTGCGGGAAAGTGGAACGTGCTTGGAAATGAGGCAGCTGATAAAGCGGCGCTAGAACTAGGCTCAATGAGCCAACGCAGAACCCACAGAAACAGCTTAGAAAGGTGGCTGATACAAATGAGGCGGCCTCAACACGCTCAATCGAGAATCCTGAACAGAGTTGCGTGCTTGGGAAGCCGCTGAGCTTGGGGGCTCCCCGTGCACCCTTAGTGCCGGGGGACCTTTCCGAATGCATAGAAACGTGGCGGGAAAACTTCGCTGCGTGGCGCAGATAGACAACAGCGGCGCATCTCACGTGTGGTGGTGCGGCGTTCTTAAGCTGAGCAGCCCTTGTAGATACATTTCTCACGTTTTGCCTTGGTTGTTAGATGGGACAGCATGTGTACCCAGGCAAAAAGTCACACCAGAGGGGCCCTTGACTTCTGGTCCATTTTTCGCAATGCCCGAAAGCTTAGGGGTTTCTGCTCCAGGATGTAGCATCTTTCACGGGGAATAAAAATCCGCAGGGCCAGGACGTGGACCAACTCTACTTCAGCTGTGCGGCTGCCCAGTAGCTGTTTTTCCGGTGCTATGGAGAAGGCGCTTGAAAAGAGCATGGCAACTTGTGGCATAAAATCATCCGCCTGTTCCACCAAACCAAAAGGATGAGCTGGTTCCGCCAAACCAGAAGCAGACCGTTTTTTTTTTTTTTTTTGGGGGGGGGGTGTCGAGGCGCAGTGTTGAAACAGGATCAGGGACCCGGTAAACGAGCTTTAAAATGCTCAGGCGGGTGTCTCCTGAAATTAGCTGCCGTTGTCTCCCTTCAGATCAACGAGCAATAGGGCGCGAATTACTAGCTTAGCGGCGGTGCCATGCAGGCATGTCTAATGGTCCAAGAGGAACTACAGGTGATTTCTACAACAAGGGGGTGGGCGACTGAACATGGGTGTTTTCCGTTTGGCCCTCCCTTGAATGTTGACCCAAGTTCACACAAACAGAAAGATCCCCTTTCCAAGTAGAACACCCCACTAAAAAACAGGGGGGGGACTCAAACAAGCCGCTACACTTTTACTTTTTAATTCTTGATTTTTATTTCGGGGGGGGGGAAGGAGGCTCAAGGGGGGGTGCAGTTGTTTCCGGTGCTTGTCCCTTGAAAGCCACTCGAAATCGGATGAGGCTCCACCACCAACAAGCTCAACGTCTACTGCGAGCTGAGTCTGCAGAAGTCGGGTCCGGGGGTGCGCCTGCCAGACCCGACGGACAGGAACCGAGACCGAACTCGGGGGGGGGGGGGGCTGGGGGGGCTGCAAAAGGCGAAGCTTAGCGTCTGCTTTAAGGCCACAGCCGGGCCAGGCCAATCGACACCTCACGAGTCATGGCTGAGATGCATCCATTGAAGGCGGTCTACGTCTGGGTTGCTTGGGGGATGAGCGCCTGCATCCGCTTCTCCCCAACCAACCAGGTGTCTTGGGATTTTGATAGGCCAGAAACGAACGGAGGAAACCACGGCACCTAAGGGCCGCCTGTCAACTTCTCTGCTCGATGCATGCGTGAGGCATGCCTACACGCACGCATGCCAGGTGAGGGCGGTCTGCTGCTCGGAGCAGCAGGTGATGCTGCCCCTCTTCCAGAACTTCCTGTCAGAGCTGCTGCAGGCTTCATGGGCGTTGGTCGGGGCTGGTGTGGGGTTCTCCCTTTCTCGGTCCTGCCTTTGCCTCTTTCTGTCTCTCTCGCCTCTCTTGGGTTGATAGCAACCTCTAATTTTGAGGTGGAGGTCTGCAGTTGCAAAACTGGGCTTTTTCAAAGAAAAAGGACTCCCCTGCATCGTCGCTTGGCTCGCCTCTTGACCAGGTGAAATGGCAGGGAGGGCCGCACGGGCTCCCAGAGTGGGTGGCAGACAGGGTTGGGCAACATTTGTTTGAGCCAGACGCTGGCCAGCTCTGGCAAATGGTCAACTTTCAACATTCAGGCTTAGACAGAAGCTCGGCGGCCTATGTGTCCTTTCTGATCTCTTTTTACCAGGGAAAACTTGGGGGTGCAACATATGCACGTAAACGCGCCTTGTGCAGCATGAAAGTCTGTATCCGTGCTTGGTTTTCTCTGCGCTCGCCCACGCTTTTAGGGGCGTTCAGGCGGGCCAGGGGGGCGCTTGTCTTTGCTGTTGCTTGCACCAACAGGGTCACCTTCTCGTAGTGGTTTGCGAGCGTTGGAGGTGGCTGTTGCAGTGGCAAGTTAAGGGTGTGGTTGCGGAGCTTGTTATCATGGGCACCTCATCCACAAGCGGTGACAAGTTTCCCATGTCCTCCCTATGAATACAAGCTAGCTGGGTTCTTGAATTATGCAAGCTCGGGGTATTCTTCGGCATGCGGCATGCAAGCAGGCCACGGAGGTGTTGCTAAGGAATTTGGACAGACATTCGGACTGCCTGCAAGAAAGGTTGTCAATGCCCTTCTGAGCACCCATGTAATTTGAGCAGGTTTCGGGTTGACGGTTCCTTGCCTTGGGGCGTTGGTTTCTTCCCTGGAACGTGTGTCCCACAAACCTTCCTCGAGGCCCCGGCAGTGAGGGCGCTGCGCGCGCCGACAAAAAAGGGGGGGCGGAAGAGAGAGAGCCAGCTGACACGGGGAGTGGAGCTCTCGAGAGCGGCTCAAAGTCAGGAGACCAAAGTGGTTGGTTTCCTTTTGGCTTCTCTTTGAAACCAAAACAGGGCTCCCTCGAAAATTGGACACAGAGAGGTTGGAGCTTGAGATGAGATTCGCGCTGTCCGTTGTGAACAAGCATTTGTGCAAAGAACCATTGAGGGAACTGTTGACCAGCGCCCAAAACTCCTGTTGGCCATTTTAGGAGATGGTTCTACAGCCTGGCTTCATGGGGTTCACAGTAGAGCTTGCATAAGCCTCCACAACAATGCTTTTAGAGAAAAGTTCACTAGGCTTTGGGCACTGCTCATGTGTCCATAGTGTGAACATGATGGCGAGGAGCCATTTGCGGGCGATCCGTGTGCGTCGAAGCCAGGTGGAAGAGCTGAAGCTGGTGGGGGACCGCTTGCACTACAAGCGCCTTACAGGCCGCCGCGGGGAACGGGGGACGGGCCAAAGGGTGTCGTTGCCTTTTTTTGCTCCAGCCGCGGGGGGCGCCTCATTTGTCGGTATTTTTCCACGAAAAGGGTCAACACGTAGAAGTGTGTTTCTTGCCCTCCAAAAGGGGGCATGAACCTCAAGTTTGGACACAGGTGTAGAAAGAACGGTCTACAAATGGTGGGGTACTCAAAAAAAAAACAACTGAAGTGACGAGCATGTAGACCGAACGGTCTACGTGGGGTGCTTGAAAAAACCAAGCGAAGTGGCGATCACAGGAGCATTCAGCCCGTCGCCAGGGACCGGCCCGGAGGAGGGTTGGGTCAGCACCAAGATCAGCGGCAAGGCAAGTGAGAGATGGGCCGAAATTCGACAGCCAATTGGGGGGTGCTCAAAACAATTTTGTCAAGTGTTTATACGAAAACACACACACACACACACACAAAAGAAAGAAAAGCAAGACGACAAACCAAGCAAAGAGCCATGTTTTTTTGTGCTCTTGGTTCTCCTTTCAGCCCCATGCGACATGGGATGCTTGGTCATCATTTGCTTGGGTTCCCACAGAACGTTTGTGTCCTAGGCCTGTTTGTTTGACCCTCTTTTTACCTTTCAGCACTGGTCGGGGGTCAGAAGAAAAACACGCAAGCACCTGCTGACATGTAGAGCCGCGGTTGGGGGGGGGGGGGGCTGAGGTTCTACCGGAAGAGGAGGAACCAGAGTTGTTCATTAGATTAGTTTAGCATTGGCGATGCTACAGGTGTTGGGTGTCCGAAAGGGGATTTGGTCGGTTGGCCTATTGGTTGGTTGCTTGGTTGGTTGGTTGGTTGGTTGGTCGGTTGGTCGGTTGGTCGGTCACACGCATGTTACTACCCAAAGTCAGCAGCAGGACAATCGGGCCTGTCAAAGAACAGGCTGGGGGTCAAGCAAATTCAGGCCAAGGAATCTCCCCATGCTGATTTCTCGCAGCACCATTCAGAGACCTCCTTGCCACCGTGGAGGATTGGCCTTCTGCTTGCGCCAGGAGCTGCTATCGAAGAAGGAGGCGGCCGATGAGCCAGCGGAAGATGTGGGAGGGCCAGGAGAGGGCGGCTTGAACATGACACACTCTTTCTCTCTCTCTCTCTTGTTGTTGTTTTTTTTTTTTTTTTTTTTTTTTTTTTTTTTTTTTTTTTTTTTTTTTTTTTTTTCTCTCTCTCTCTCTCTCTCTCTCTCTCTCTCTTTGGTCTCTCTCTCTCTCTCTTGGTCGCTCTCTCTCTCTTGGTCGCTCTCTCTCTCTTGGTCGCTCTCTCTCTCTTGGTCGCTCTCTCTCTCTCTCTCTGATGTATATATTATATAATATATTGTCAGAGCATTATGTATAGTATTGGTTATTGCTATTGCTATTGAATATTGTTATTGTGTATCATTATTGTTTTTGTTGCAACTGTTGGTGTTATTGTTATTGTTATTATGACTGTTATCATTAGTCATAGTTTGTCGATATTTATTGTTACTATGATTCCCCAACAGCTGAAAGCTATTGAGCTTTGCCCGGATATCTAGAAACCGTTTTGGATGCGCCTTTTGTGGATTTCACCTGTTCTTCCCCCTGTTGGTCCTTTTTTAGTAATCTTTTAGTACTCTTTTAGCCTTCTACAGGGGTGGAACCACAAAAGCCACATCCAAACCGTTTTCTAGAGGATAGGCCCGGGGTGGTCTGGGTTGGCTCTGGGGTAGGGTTCCGAGGAGGGTTCCGGGGACGACTTGGGCGGTTCCGAGGGGCTCCGACTTTTGAATGCATGTGGCCGGTTTTGAGGAGCGCGCGCAACTGTGCCTCCTGCTGTTGGGGAGGTCACCCGAGCTTGTTTTACTTCTATTTCGCTTTGTTATCATCATTGTCGTCAGTAGTGTCATATTTTGTTATGTACTCTTATTTCTTGTGCTGCTGTGTCTGCATAAGTGGACACACAGAGGGACACTCACATGCTCATACTGTAATTATACACATGCAAACATGTTTTCTAAAAGATATATAAACGTGATCCCGTGTTCTGTGTTGCTACCCCCCCCTTTACCCAGATGGTATGGGTTTTCCAGGACCCCCCCCCCCCGGCCCGAGACCCCCACCCCCACCCCAACCATAAACCAACCCTAAACTAACCCTAAACCAACCCTAGATACACCCTAAACCAAACCCTGAACCTTAGACCTCCAAACCGAAACCAACCCTAAATCAACAAAAACCAACCCGAACCTAACCTTAAACTAACCCCAAATACACCCTAAACCAATCCCTAAACAATAAACCCTAAACCTAAACCAACCCTAAACCAACCCTAAACTAACCCTAAACGAACCCTAAATACACCCTAAACCAAACCCTAAACCAAACCCTAAACCAAACCCTAAACCAAACCCTAAACCGTACACCTCTGAACCTAAACCAACCCTAAACCAACCCTAAATCAACATAAACCAACCCTAAACCAACCCTAAACTAACACTAAATACACCCTAAATATACCCTAAACCAATTCTAAACCAACCCTAAACCACCACAACCCAACCACAGGACCACAACCACAGGCGGCGGGGGGTACTTGTCTGACCCATGACCATTGGGGGGTGGGGGGGTGGGGGACTGGCAACGCTGTACCATGTATGCAGTATATACATGCAGGTGTACACCCATGTTTATGCATATGTGTATACCATGCACACACACAACATAAGCCCCTTGCAACGGACAATGACTAGGTACATCAACATTCTCTCTCTCTCTCTCTCTCTCTCTCTCTCTCTCTCTCTCTCTTTTCTCTTTCTCTTTCTCTTTCACTCTTTCTCTCTCTCTCTCTATAAACACATACACATCGAAATAGATTCGAACACATGTAGGCATGAACAGTACTAGTATGTAGAACTCAACAACGGCCAAGTTCCTCCTTTCAATGAAGCACTTTGGTATGCTACCGGTTTCCTTTTTAGTCTGCTATGCCAAGGCGTATTTTGCCCTCCCGGTCCAAGGCTTGTCCAAGTGATTCGCATTGGACATGCATCAACCTTCGCACCTTGTGGGAAGCAAAGATTGATAGATCTGAGCATCAAAAGGTGGACCCACTCTTCGAGTGAAACTTCGGCACCAGACAAGGACCCCTGTACGCGGGGACCCCATTGTCGGGCCACAATCAGCCTGCTTTGGTTGCCCTGCCTACCCTGGATGGCAGCCTGGCAGGTTGAAAGCAGCCGGTCTGTCTTGGCTGTTTGCCAGAGCATGTTCGTCGTCATGGAAGCAGCGTGCACTTTGAGTTGCCATGGCCACGTCTTGCCAGTCTGCAGGAGAGGCCTCCGGGCCTGTTGCCTTGGACGAGGCCCTCAAGAGCAAGATTGAGGCAGACTGCAAGGCGGGATCCTAGAAACCTCGCCGACACCACTTGACGGCTTGTTTGCTCTCCGCGTCTTGGGCATCCCGCCCTGCCAAAGCAGCGCGAAGCTGCGCGAAGCAAGCACCTTTTCCAGGCGAAGAAAGATGACTTCCTCTTGTACTGCATGAAGTACAAGGTGCGGAAGGGTGCATGGAACTCTTAGGAGTGAGCCACAGGTAGCGCATCGGAAACTTTAGTGCCTGGCCTTGCCAAAAAGGTGTATTATATTGTGGTATGTTCTGCAGCCTATTGTTGTGTTGCATTGTTTGGCATTGCGTTGCGTTGTGTTGTGTTGTGTGTCTGTGTCTGTCTGTCTGTGTGTGCGCGTGTGTTTTCGGTTTTAATTTTGCCAGCCCTAGACTGTCAACTCGCCATCGTTGTCGACTACATCACATGCAGCTTGCAGGGCACAGTGCCTTCACAACTCTCCGGACATGCTTGCCCACACAAGTCCATCTCTGGACTTTCGGGAAGGGAATGGTAGGTGTCCTTTGAAGTTTCTGTTCTCTGATTGACACCATTCACAAAGGGGTCTCCGTTTTTGTTGGACGTTCAGCTGTGTATATGTTGCTCCGCGCCAGGGGGGGGGGGCTTTAACAGGGAACCCAAGCATTTGGCAGGATCTCCCGGGTTTTCCAGTCAGGCTCCGGCTCCTTTCACAATCTGTTCAAAAGCGGGTCCCTGTTCACACCGTTCTCCGTATCCCAACTTCCGAATTCCGAAGTTTTTTTGTTTTCTCCTACGCTGCAAGGTCAAAGCAAGTTCTCCAAAAGAGGCCCCTTTGTGAGGTTGAAGCCCTAACATCCCCTAACCCCCCCAACCCAACCCCCAACCAAACCCCTGACCCCTGAACCAAACCTCTCACCAGCCCCCAGCTTCCCACCCCTTCCGCCCTTCCGCCCCCTCACTCCCAGGTGCTCCGAACCTCTCATCAGCCCCCAGCCCAGCCTTCCCCAGGTGCTGGGCTTCCCCCTGGAGAAGCCTAAGCTCCGGGTCTTGGCCTTCCACAACGCCGGCAGCGCCGAGTCCATCTACACGGGGCCCGAGCCCTGGACCCTACGCTGTTCCAGGACCCCGGGACCCCACCCCACGGGCCGCACGCGGCCCCGGGACCCACAGCCGGCGGCCGTAAGTTGGGGAAGTGATTCCTGGTGGAAAAGTATCGCGACCGCAAAGAGCGACAGTGTCATTCCAAGCTGTACGGGGGGGTTGTCTTTTGGGTTTCCATGGTTTCCCTCTCTTGACCCCAAGGAAGACTTAGGGCTTCTCCTTTTCAACTAAGTTTCAGCGTACCTCAGGGTTCGAAAAAGAGAGCACTGAAGTGAAGCTTAGTAAGGGACAGTCCCGTAGGAAAATAACAACGCCATGTTGATTCTTTACCATTGGTTTGGGTAGCCCCCTCAAATACCAGGTTTGATTATGACTCTGATTGGTTTTGACTGGACATCTTGGAGAAACCAGCAGGAATCACATTGATGAGTATTGACAGGTGACGTGGTGTGGTGGTTTGGGTGGTGTCCTTGCTTCCTTCTGGTTTGTTAATTTTGGGAAGTGAAAAGCGCCGCGATTTGCTCAACGCCATTTGGCTGCCTTGCAAAGTGTTCCTGTACATGGGGCCGACTTTGCGCGGGAGGTGGGAAGTTTCTGAAAGGGAAACTCAACCCTTGAACATGCTCAGAACTTTGAAAATGCGAAGCAGAATGGAGTCTTCCGTTGTGCGCGAGCATTTCGGGTGTGAGCTGGCAAGCGAGACCTATGATGGAGGGGTTATGTTTGAATCCTTTCCGTGGCTTTCAAAAGGATGTGTCTGCAGTGATGGATGTTCCAATCATTGGAATTAGGGAATCGAACCGCAGCAAACGTAGACTTGGGCCATGGCACGGACGCGCATCGGGTAATCGGACGTGTCCACTTTGAACGGGCCGTTCAAGTCAGACGCCGGTGACTCATCGCGCGACGCACGGGACACCTTCTGTGCTTCAGGCCTGGCACGCCTTTCATCCAGTGGATCAAGGAGACCAAGCCGCTTGGCATAGTCAGCTAGGGGAAATCTTCCGGGGAGAAGCTGGAGCTCGAGTTTGATAAAGTCTCCAAGGGAGCCCCTGGGTCGAGGTTCCCTTGGGAACAACTGGGCAGAAGCCACGGAACAGAGAGATAGGAAGGGATTGGTGGGGTCGTGCTCCTATTCGCGTTGTCTTGGTCATGGAATTCGAATGCGCCCGAGAAGGGGTGCTTTTCAAGGAGGTCTTGTCCAGTTGTCGGGCTCACCTTTTTTTTGTCCTTTGAGCACTGCCCACATTTGCCTTGCTGGTTTCAAGCATTACCTGTTGGGCCAAATGAAACTAAACAGGATTAATTTTCAAGCTGAACATGTGTGGGACCCCTCAAATTACCCTTCAGCATGAGGAGCCACTCACAAAAGTTCGGGCAATGCCCCATTTCCACCGGCAGGTTGAGGGTCCGGATGGCACGCGATTTCGGGGCTAAGGCTCGAACTTGAGAGCCGAGGCAAGTGGAGCTAATGGCCTTCGATTACCCTGGCCGCGACAAGTTGTTGAAGGCGGGCTCCCGGGCTCTTCCATCGGTCGGGCCCACGAGTCTTGGTCAACTGAGCCACAGTCAAAACCCGGGTAGATGAAGGTTAGTAAAGCTGCGGCCGCCTTTGTGCTTCCTTACATGGTTGTAGGGCAAACATTTGATAAACTACCTTTTCGTTTGTTTGGAGCCTCGTCCGGCTTGGAGCCTCAACTTTGCGAGCGAGATGATTTTGGCGTGATGCTGGGCTGGACATGTAGGGAAGCCTGGGGCCAACCAAGGGATTGAAAAGGAAAGCCCCAATCAGGAAATCTGGAGCGACCAAAAAACTGGCGCGCGCCGCCTGCGGGACCCCGCATGCTTGTCCCTCTAGCAAGCCTTAGCATCAAATCAGAAGCGTGTTCGCCCACCAATTTCTGGGGCAACCACCTTCTAGGGGTTCATTTTTCTCATGGCTCATGTGCAATGCTTCTGGGCGACCTCGAGAGCCAGCTTGAGCAACTCTGTTGAATCCTCCCAGGGCTACAACCTCTTCAGCCACAAGCAACATTTCGAAGCTGACTCACCGGACCTTCAGACTACCCGGGAAATGGGGGGATATTGCCCCGTTGTAGGGTAAATTCCCATCTTAGCGGGTAGCTTGAGGGTCGGTCTGGTCGGGGGTTTGATCCCGCTTAGGTTCTCGTGACCTGAGCTGCAAACGAGCCGCTCAAGACTTGCGCGCAAAATGGGGGGGGGGGGGGGGTGGTTTGGTGAGCAAACGCCGGCATTCCCTGAACTAGGGTCCTCTTTTGGTTGCCTTTAGGGAGAAACGGGGGGGGGGGGAGCAAACAGGAATTCCCGTGACCCAGGGCACAAGGGTTCCTTTGATAGGCGACAAAGCACACCACCACCGAGACGCTGGCGCCAGAGCTGCTGGCGGGGGGGGGGGGGAGCTCGCCGATGAGCTGAAGTATAACGAGCGCAACAGCCATGAGAAAGGAAATCCCTTGTCTGTGGGGATCCGATTCTTACTTCAGCTTTTGGAAGAGTAAAAATCAAAATCGCATGTTGGATTCATGGTTTCGAGCTCATGGGATGTGGGGAGAACTGTTCTTTTTCATGGCGAGCTCACCGGACTCCTTTGCCATGAACCCTCCCAGGCACCGCTGCCCCAAACCGCCTGAAGGCTTGTTCAACAGTTGCAGCTGCGCCCTTCGCGCCTGAACTCTGCCTTTCCCAGAACCGGACTGCGCCTGGCAAGAGAGGGGTAAAACTATCTGAAGACATGATGAAGGTCTAAACTGCCATGATTCATGCAGACGCTTGCCGGTCTCCTAGCTGCCAGACAACTGCCAGACAATTTAGGGCAGTGGGATGAGAATGGTGGGGCTGTTTCAGCAAGCAATTCTGTGAATGTTGGAATGTGTTGGCGCAGGTGCTTGGGTCAACACCGTCCCTTCCAAAATGGCTGGCTTTATATAGGTTGCCTTTTAATACCGTTTCCACGATGTTACGCTCGTCAGGCGGTGGCTTATGAGAAGCTGACCGACGGAGTGCCCTACATCGTCTGGGGGCATTCGGCCGGGGACGCAATTCAGAGACGCGGACGATCTGAGCGCCCAGAAACCCAGTGGCCTGTTTTGGTTGGTGGTTCTACTACCTGGGCTTTATTGGGTTCATGTTAAGGCTTCAAAAGCGTTTACGACCAGGCTGGTAGACCCCAAAGTCGATCGGTTTTGGGCGCGAGCAGCGAAACTAGCGACTGGCTTCACGGGTTTTCTTGTGGCGACTGGTTTTCTTATGGCTAGGTTTTTCAGTGCCTTATTGCCCCTTTTTTTTGGGGGGGGAGGGTTCCCCTGGAAAAAGGGGTAGCAACTTCTTCTAAGCTCTCGAGAGGACCTAGATCTGGGTGGGTTTCATCGGTCTTCGGCCGCGTCGCCGAGGTGGGCACCTGGGTAGCCTTCGAGTTTCTGCAGCTCTGCAGGAAGGCGAATTGGGGGATTTGCGTTGGCTCGGGGGGCGGGGGGGGTAGGCGGGGGGGGTAGGCGGAGTGGAGGTGGAGGAGTTTTTTTTGTTTTTTTTTGTTTTTTTTGGGGGGGGGTTGGGGGTTGGGCGAGGTTTGTGCTGGTCAAGCATCGAAGTGTCCAAAGTGTGAACCAGTGTTTTTGCCTGGATTGAAAATAATGGGGGAATTGCCTCGATGGTGTTGGTTCGCTTCGTGCGCTTCGGGGACATGAGGTGGCCCGCCTGGTGGCTTGATCTTGGTCCCATTGATTACGGAATCCCCAGTTTTTGAACAGCCTAGCATCGCATCGGCGCACTTCTTATTTCTCTTTGCCTCTCCGATGGGACATTTCCCGAAGGGAGTGTGAAAGCGCCGGGCATTGGACAATATTGGACACCCCGGCCAGGTGGGCCTGCCCATGCCGCTCGCGGCCTTCCTTGCCACTTGGCCTTTTCTTTTTGGACATCTGGTGCTGCTTTTCAGCGGGGGGTGTTGTTTAGGACATTGCTTTTTTCAGGGTAGCGCTTGGACAACACACACTGCACTGGTGTGTGTTTGGGGGGGGGGCCAAAGAAGAGGCGCGCAAGAAGACGTGTGCAAAGCATTCGTACGACGTGGTCAATGGGATCCCATGAGCATCAGAAGAAACTATAACCGCTTTGCACTTCTTGTTTTTCTGACGTGGCGCCTGAGGTCACGTTCCCAGCGCCGCATTATCCGGAGGCCAAGCGTCTGGGAGCCTGGAGGTCTTGGCATGTTCCGCTTTTTTCGCAGGGCTCGGTGCTCGAGCAGAATGCTATGCCCAGAGCTCTCAGAAGGTGTACCCTTGGATGGAAATGGCAACCGGGGCATCCAACAACTTGATGCGCTACAGAACTGTTTAAACCGATTTGATTTTTCTAGTAGGTGCCATGTCCAATCACGTGTCATGTTTTGTGTGGCATGCCAAAAGCAACGCGAAGAAGCGCCAAAGGGCGGTGTCGATCCACCAGCGATTCAAACCACCCCATGACTGTTGAGGGTAGTCTGAGCGGGTAGTTTGAGGTTACTGCCGCACTGCCGCAATATTCCATTTTCAGGCTTTGTTCTTTCGGAGGTCCGTGGAGGCGAAATGCCAAGCTGAACAATGCCCAGATGCAGGAGGACAGATGGGCTTTGTTAGCATATTGCTTGGCTTGCTTCGGGTTTCCTTGTTGAAACCTAGACAGACCCATTTGGGTGTGTGGTACACTTTTGATTCTTCGCCAATTTCAAAACGGGCCCATTGGTTTACCTGATGGCAGCTCAGTGTCATGGGCGCATGGGCAAACAACTTCGATAGGATTCAGCCGCAAGCCTCTGGAAACTCGGGTGTGTCAATTTTTCACATTGGGCAAGCCACTGAAGATCTTGTCGTTTCCTTGCGACCGGTGCGACAGGTAGGGAATGCGGGAATGAACCCAGAGGTCCCCTTCAAAGAAACCACAAGGATGGTTTATAAGGGTCATTCCATTTCTCATTCCCTGCCTATCGGTGTTAGCCCGGTCGAAACATTCGGATGCGCCTTTCAGGTCAGGCGGCAAACCCACATGTCCTGTGCAGACTTCGCGCTACGGGGAATGTTGGTGCATTAGAATTGCGCTAATCCCCAAACTGAAAATAAAGCAACTCCGCAACAGAGAGTGTGGGTTTCAGGGGAAAGCATGCGGGAGGCTGATCCGAAGGGCCATGGAAAGCCAACCCGATTGTTCAGGAGGTGAAGAACTGGGACAACGTCCACTTCAGCGACGCTGGTAAGGTGGTCAATCTCAGTGCGATTGGTCGACCGGTTTGCCTGGTTCGACTCCCACGTAGATTTCCGCAAACTCAGTATACTCATTTTTCTGAGGTCGAGGTAGTTCCACTCTGATTGTTTGGTTTGACACGGCGAGCGTTGTGCAAGGAGTTTCACTAGCTAGGGATAAGAGCAACAAGCCAGCCAGCCTGCCAGCCAGCCAGCCACGCACGCACGCAAGCAAGCCGGCCAGCCAGCCAGCAAGCAAGCAAGCAGGCAGGCAGGCAAGCAAGCAAGCAAGCAAGCAAGCAACAAGCAACAAGCAACAACCAAACAAACAGAGAAACCAACAAACAATCATGAAAACATTTACAGAGATGCACACAGAGGCAGACAACGAAACAGACAAAGCAACAGACACCGTCACAGAGACAGAGACAGAGACACAGACACCACCAAACACAGGCACAACCACAGAGAAGAGAAAGGCAAAAAGACAGTGAGGCATAGAGGTAGAGAGACAGAGGAGCAAAGAAGCACAGACAGATAACAAGGGGGTGGCTGAGAAGCTTTTGCGTTTGCCACCAATCAGAAGGCTTTTGGGATGTACGTACCATGCCCTGGGACCGGCAAACTGAGCGCAGCTGCTCCACTTTCTTCAATGCTTGTGTTACCCACCCAGGAATTGAACAAACCCAGGACTTGAACAAACCCAGGAGCCTTGGTCTTGGCGTTTCGATGTTGCTACTGGCTGGATTCCCAGATTTGAACCTCGTTACAACTGGAGGGGGAGGAGCGCAGTTTTTGCACAGCCTGCGACCGGAAAACAATGAAACCACTTTGCATGATGGGGATGCAGGTCCACTACATTTGAGTCATTTTGAGCTCATAACCATCGGGTAGTCAATTTTTGCCTTGGGGAGGACATATACAGGGGACCCACATTTTCCATATTTTTCCTTGCTCCCTCTTCCGGAAACATGTCAATTCTTGCCCGCCCATGTTGCAGCCTCGAGCAGGAAGCCCTCCTTGAGTGCTGAGCATCAATCACGGGTGCCAGTTTTGCTGACCTTTGTATCTCCTTTGTATGAGGCGCAGGTACAGCAACTGCAAGAAACACGTCTGGGGGTACTGAAGTCATTCTTTGGAAGGGTGAAAAAAGCAGCTGGAAAGCCCCCGTTTCACCCTACCTGGATTTGAACCTTGATCTGATTGCTTCGTTTGAAAGCAGCTGGGATGGTGGTTTCTCCCTTTTCGGGACCATGCCGTACCACTCGGAAAGACAATCTGGACGCTTTTGGTGGCCACGAGTGGGCTCCCCGGCCCAGGTGGTTTTTGAAGACCCGGGCTGGAAAGACACCTGGGAGCCCATGATGAGGGCGGACTTCAAGCTTTTTGACGAGCACCCTGGCTGGAGGATGCTTCTTTTTTGTTTTTGTTTCTTTTCTCTCTACCTTGAGGCTGGTGCTTCCTTTGGCTTGCTGGTGGCTGGATCAATCGGTTTTTGGTTTTTGTTGCAGTATGGGGCTGGTGAGGCGCAGGACGTTTTGCGAGTGTGCTCAGGATTCTTGCTTCCCAAATCCTAGGGATGATTCGTGGGTTCCAAGGAACACCCGGAGGTGGTTTCCATGCTCACCTTTAAACCACCGGCATCAGCAAAGCAGATCTTCCAAATTGCCCCGTTGACCCCAAGGAACCTCCAAGAACCCCCCCCAACAATTCAAGAAGTCCCACCAAGGAGCCTAAGGCCATTAGCTTCACTCCGGTGGATCCTTCTTCGTTCGATGTACGGCCTGATTTTAGCCACTCCTTGGCTCGGGCGGCTCAAGCGTGAAGCTTTGGGAAGCGCAGTGGTGCAAAGGGTTGGCCTCGAGTGCAACACGTGAGCTCCGAGTTAGGTGTAGACACATGAAGGTTGGCCTTTGCGTGTTTTTTTTGTTTCTTCTGAGCAAGGCAACTCGCTGACAAGTGCTGAACCTGAGGTACAAATTCAAGCATGCTGGATGCCCCAAGTTCGACTTCCCCCTCCATTGCTGGTGGTGCAACTTGGCTCGCGGTTTGATCAAACTGTCAATACGTCAAAGCATCATGGTGCATGTGCTTAAGGGGTTTGCCTTTTGACCACCGTTCTTTGGGAAATCCAGTGTCCTTTCTAATTAGGGCTTCTACACTTTTAGGCAGTGGGTCAAAAGGTATTTGTTTGTGTAGTCCTCCAGGTGAAAAAGAGCACTTCATCAAGCCTGATATGGTGGAGGCGCGGTTGGAAACCGTTTGGATTGGGCACAATCCGATTTCTTGGGGCGCCTTTTTGGCCAGCAAACCACTTGATTGAGGCAGAGACTGGCCACCTAGTAAGTGTGAAGCCGATTTCACCCTTGCATGTTCCTTACTTCAGGGTTCCCTATTTTTCCGGTTTGGCTCGAACATCACCCGAGCCGATTGAGGTGAGTGTCCTTTTGTTCAAGGAAATGTGGGGAGCCCTTTGCTGGGCGATGCCTGTCGACTTGGGCTTGCGATGGGCCATTCACCTTGCATGTCGCAAATGTTCGCCTCAGACGCTCCAGGCTTGGAAAGACTGGACCACAGGGGATTTTGACTACGACGTTTTGAAAGCCTGGCGCTCGGACTTCCGGGGGAAGCGCCACACCTGACACCCACTTTCCCACGGCGGTTTGTGCTTCAAAAAGACGATACTTGCAAGGGCTTTCCTTTGAACTATTTCGGGGGAGGGCTTAGTGCGAGTTAAGATCACACTGCTGTGTTGCCGGTACTGCCTACGTGCAAAGCCGGCACGTTGGTTACATGACATGTGACATGGCTTGTAAATGTCAAGCAAGCACCAGCTTTTCAAAAGACCTGATGGTATGCAGGTCGGGGGCAAGGATCTAGACAACATGCGCACAACTGTCCTGAATCTGCCAATACAATCGAGATGGACGTGCATTTCCCAATGGCTTTGTCTTGTCAGCGTTGCATTCGCAATCTACACATTTTGACAAACCGCTACGGAACATCGACAGAAACAAGATTGAAAAAGAGCAATACTTGACACACACACACACACACGCCTACACGCACGCGCACACACACACACACAAGCCTACACACACACACACAGACACGCATGCGTGAATACAATTGCACCACAAGTGAAGCCTTGTTGTGCATAGCTACCAAGAATGCCCAACTCGCAGTACCATGCAAGGCTACAGCATCACAACTACAGCATGCGTATATATATATATATACGCATACACACACGTCGACGCGGATGCGATGTATGCCATGAAGCGCAGAGGGCACCTGCGAGCCGGCCTGTCCGAGGATGCGGGGCACCTGACGGCGTTCTACAAGCCTGACCTGAAGAAGGCGAGGCATTCGACGCGATCAGACTGTTCTCAAAGGAGACACAGTAAGGAAGACCCATTTGATGTCTTGAGCTCCTTGCAAGGGGTGAGTTTTAGACAGCTTGCTCACAGGGCGATGGAATGCGGTTTCATCGGATCACTCCCAAGCTCAGCACTTGCACATGGGTGACCATGTGCATGCGCGATGTTTTGCCTTGGAATTTGTATGCCAGGCGTACTTCAACAAGGTTACCGATCTCATGAAGAAGTACTCTGGCATCTGAGACTTTGTAGGTCGAGTAGGTCGAGGGAGGTCTGCCACCTGCGACCTCCTTTCCCTGGCCAATGAGTTTGTTTGTTGCGGCAATCTGCTGTGCTTCTTTCCCGCAAGAGGACAGATAGCTATGAGGCTATGAGAGATTGAAAGCCGATATTGGAGTACCCCAAAAAAATACTTTTAATTGCGTGCTTTTGGTGGCCTTTGGTTCCTGGCGCTAGTCCTGGAGTTGTGGCCGAAAAGCAGGCCTGGAGAGGCTGGCCGAAGGGCCATCCCCAGCCTGGTACTCAATCTGTTATTCTAGCAGCATGTTTTCGGAGGAAGAGCACCTGTGCAGGAGGACAACGACCGAAAAAGGGGGTTGCTTGCAGCGTGTGCGATGCTTTGCAACACGGAAGGCTGGCTGGCTTGTGTCGAATCTCGCGTGGCCGGGCCGCCCTCCGCTACGCCGCACGCCGCTCTCCTACCTCGATCGCCGATCTGCAGCTTGCTGGAGATGACGGTGTCGGGCAAGCATTGATGCAAGCAAGAGACGGATGGGTAGAAGCAACAAACAGATCGGCGCTGCACGGCCTGAAAATGCTGGATACGTGACTCCACATGTTTTGCGTCACAGAGACTGTGTGTGGGAACGGCTTAGATCAACAAGTTAAAGAGTGATGTGTGGCCTGGGCAACCGTTAGCCCTGCTGGAAGGGAGGCAGGTTAGCAAATGCAGTGGTTGATCTTGTGCACCGATATGAGTTTGCATAGTTTGCTTTCGAATCGCGTTTTGAGTTGTCAAAGTGCCACATGCGTGCAGTGATGTTTGCCTGCTTCCAGGCCTCTGACTGACGATTCACTGATTGACCATCTGTCTAGCCCGCTGTGTGCTTGGCCTGAGCTGCCGAGGCTCGAAACTTTGACCGTAGTTCTTCGTGTCCGATCCTTTGGATCTCCCGTGCCGGGCAGTGCGCGAGGCGTCTGTTATCTGTTGGCCTTGCAACATGGCGGGTTGCGCGACGGCACGTGGGCGGCCTGCCTCCACGCGAAAGCGCGGCGCCAGCCCGAGGCTGAGCGCTGCGTGTGCCTCCGCGAGGGCCGCGTGCGACTTGGTCCGCGGGAAGCGATTGCCCGCCTTCGAGTGGCCACGTGGTCGCCAGCTTCGCGCGTCTCGTGTTCTTCACATCAAACGCGAACGCAAGTTTTTTGCCTCTCATGCCGCCGTCCGAAGTTCTTTTTTTCTCGCGCGGGCCTCAGCTCCGAGCAAAAACCTCCCCCCTGCAGCATGGAAGTCCAAAAACCGAGCCCGGAACGAGCTTGGGCTGTGGCGTCTTCGGGCCTGGCGGAGTCAATGGCCTGCAGGGGCAGTGACAAAGCGGCCAAAAACTGGCAATACAGGAACTTGGGCGGACCTTGGAAAGAAGAGCCCCAAGAAGGAAACGCCATAGATGACCAGGTCCAAGCAGTGCCTATCACGCGCGTCAACGCCCGCAGCAGTGGTGTGGGCAAGCCATTGCTGTGGCACCGTGATCCCCCAAAGCGTCAGCGACGCCTCCACAGCCGGGCCCTTCGCCGCCACACCGGTTGGGAGCAATGGGCAGTGGAAGCCGCGGCGCTAACGTGGTAGACGCATCAGCTGGGATGGCCGTCAGCCAGGCTCCAGCCTCAACAACATGCCCTCGCGGCAGTGTAAGTGCGTATTCACGACGCATGGACTTGCCAGCTGTGCGGCCAGCTGCCAAGTGCAGCCTGGTCATTGCGCCGGGGGTGCACTCCCTCCAACAAGTCCTGCCAAGAGGGGACAGTCGCCCAGCTTTCCACTTGCTGCTGGAGCTGGGGACCTGGCCCGTGTGCCGGGGAGCTGAGCTCGGCGACTCGCGCTTCCGCGAAACCGGCACGACGTGCCCGCATGACCATGAGCCGTGGGAACGCAAGCCACCCGTTGCAGCGAGACCTTCGGGCTTCGAGCCACCCAAACACTGAAGCTGCGTCGTGCGCCTCGGCAAAAGGCCGCCAAGGAGGACCGTGTGTGCACAAAGTACGCGTGACTGATGGGCGTGTCCCAAACGACCAGGCCACGTTTGTGGGTCGCTTTGTGTGCGTCATCAAGTTCTGCAATGTTCCTAGGCGCGGGCTCCTTCCGAAAGTTGAAACCCTGCGTTTTGCCCAGGACATCGGCAGCGGCAGGCGTAAACCCAACCGCCACGCACCCACAGTAGCAGCAGTCGCGACAGCAACTGTGCCAGCACTGGCGTCGGCACAGGCGGATGGCTGGCCTGGCCGTGCCCTGGCCCTACTGGGTTGGCTGTGGGGTCGGCCTCTGCTGAAGCCAGCGCTGCTGGCGTTGCTGCTGCTGCTGTCGGCGCCGGGGGGAGGGTTGCGGCGCTGCCGACTCGCAGGGTGGCGTGCCTGGCAGCCTGCCGCCAGAGCAGCAGACAACGCCCCTCGGGCCACTTTGAAGACGCGACCCCATCCGGCAACTCCAGCGGGCAGTTGGTTTGCTCCAAACACTGCAAGCCCGCGCTTGCACTTTCTAGTTTGTTCCCCTTTTTGCACGCGATCCACGGCGCGCTGGGCGGGGCAGCTGCTGACCTTGTTGTTGTTGGCTCGTGCTTTGGGCCCTCATCCTCCAAATCGTCCGGCGCGTACATCGGCGCTTCTTCCTCCAATTGCTCAGCCATGGCGACTCCTTTTTTTTCTTTTCCGCAACACGCCTTTTTTCATCGCCTGGTTCTGCCCCCCTCCAGGAAAACCCTTTCAGGGATGGTTCTGGGCATAAGGGGTCTGGGTGGCTGTTTTTCGGAGGCCAGCTCCTCACGTGCACTGGCCATTAATATCCCGGCGGCCCCCAGCCCAAGAGGCCGTCACCGACGCAGATCTGCCGGCGCTCGGCGGGCAAGTGGAGTCGGCAAGCAGCGCACTCCGGTCGGGGCAGGGCGACACGCTCCTTCCGCAACCGCGCAGCTGGGAATCGGGCCGAGTATAAACAAGCCGTGCCACAGCTGGGAGGCGGGCCCAGTATAAACAAACCGCCCCCTGGAAGCTGTCCAGGTTAAAAACAGCTCTGTGATAAGATCTCCCTTTGGAGGCCGGGCACCGCACAAAAATCAGGCCCGAAAAAAAAAGAAAACAAACAGGCCCGAAGAAAAAAACAGGAAAAATGTGGAAAAGGGGGGCAGTCCCCAGTGTCAGCACCAACCGCCGAGAGGACAGTCCCCGTGACCACCTGTCAGCGCTGCAACGCTCCCGGATGCCACCCCGCGCTCCCGGCCGTCGCCGCGGCGCCGCCCGTGTTTTCCGTCAGTTCCACTCCTCTCGCTCCTGGTGTGCCTGCCGCGTGTGATGGGGAGCCGGCGCCCGTCACACCAGGTTGGCTCCTGCGTGCGGCCCAGCAGCCGCCGTTGGCGGCGACAGAAGCTGATGCTTGCCCCGAATGCGTGTGTGCCGTGCCTGCTGCAGCTGAGGGCCCGGCCGTTGGTTGTGTCGCGCACATGCGTGCGAACTCCCGTTGTGTGGCCTGTGCGTTTTGCCGTTCTGGTTGGTCCACAGTTGCCGAAGAACCCCGTCCTACGACACCCGCTCTGCTCCCTCTGGGTCTGTTGCCCCACCCACCTCCCCCCCGTCCTTGGCCCCCTTCTGTTGTCAGCAC